CATAAAAACAGGCTTTCCCTTGAGATTACTGCATTCTCTTCAGCCTTCTTTGGCTCCTTTCTCTTCACTGTCTTGTCCACTCTTCCCTTACCCCCACCCCTTCCCAAACCCTATTTACTCCTACTTTGGAAAAAATTTCCCCCAAGTATTTGATTTTGGGTCTACCAGAACAAGCTTGCCAGACACTCTGTGTCTCCTGTGTCACAGCAAAACACTGCCTTAACCTCCCAACCCCCCCAAATTCCAACCTCACCCCCACTTCCCAGGAATTCTCCAGCATTGAGTGGTTAAATCTCAAGGTCTCAGCCTGACTTTCCAGACCGTCCAGGTATTGGTACACATATTTTCCACCAGCTCAATCTACACAAATTCCAAAACCCCAAAGTTTTGAATATGCAAATGTTTCTCACAGTTCATTTACTAGCAAAACCTGACCTAAATTGACAAGAAGGTATTGTCTTTATTCACCCTACTCCACGTTGAGCAAATAAAAATAATTTGCTTATAAGGTATTTCCCAAACCCTGCTAGGAGTGTACCATAATGTAAGGAATAAGTATTGCATTACTTTTCTAAAATCTAGAATCTCCTAATTCCTGAAACACATCTGATTCCCTGGATTTTGTCTAAGAGATGGTAGATGTTTGTGTATTTATCACATTCCACATCCAGGTCTGAGATGCTGAAATGAATTTGGTATTTTCCATGTCAGTGCCTTAAGATATTACTATAATATTTACCTGGAATGCTAGTTTTTCCACCTTCTTAGTCTCTGCCTATTGAACTTACATGTTTATACAGATAGCCAGTTCCTAAAGAGGTCCTTGATGGGTTATATTTTTAAAAAATCTTTTAGCTTCCAAAAATTTTGGATTTTCCAATTGTGGGTCAGGAGTGATATTTGTGGAAAATTCTTATCAGTCAGGGTATCTACTGAGGAGCTACTAAAGCATACGTTAGTAAGATATTTCAAACTGATGTTTACCTATTAGATAATATGCTCTCTGACAGCAGAAAATAAGTCATATACATCCTATAGCATTGAAAATCTGAGAACAGAGTTTAGAGATGACTTATTATTTATTATCCCCTATGATTAGATATCTGGATCTAAAGAACCAGTCTCAACTGAATTGCAAAAAATTATATTTCCCTCCCCACCATCTCTTTAATCTTGCATAAAAGGAAAAGATTAGCAAACTGAATATGTTGCTGAATATAAGAACAAAATCTGACCCTTTAAAAATAACACTATCAAGCAAATAAGTTGAAAATTGAAATTATCCCTCTTGCAAAATAATTCTGAAAGAAAAATGTGAAGATAGATGAGTGATTTTGAATTAATGTAGATACTACAGAAATATAGCATGGTTATTAATCACATTTAAAATTAATTGATTTTAGTGCAGTTTTTCTATGTAAAAACCTATAGAGATCTTGCATGCATACTCCAATAGGCAGATAACAGAAATACACTGCTGAGGGGAGCAGTGGGCGTGACAGGAGAGGTCTGCCGCGCCACGTGGGATCCTTGCTGGCAGGCCGGGATCGAACCCGCACTGCAGAGACTGCGGACAGCTTCACAGCGCAGGGCTCAACCTGCTGCACCACCAGGGAGGCCCGAAACCTTCCTTTTTTTCCAACATAAATTCATAAGGATCTTCAGTATAGAATTTAGTATAAGTGGAATTATTCTGGTTGAAGTTGATACCACTGGAGGTGGGATGGTCTGAGACCACTTATTTGGCATGTCCTCAGGGTCTCTTGGAAACCCCAGGTCTAAGGATTAGAGTGTACAAAGAACTCTCCAGAAGGACTCAACTATCCTTTGCTTCTCATTTTAAGTAACTTTTTTCATATTAAAAAATTAAATTTGTGGGACCTCCCCAGTGGCACAGGCGGTTGAGCGCAGCACTGTGAAATTGTCTGCAGCCTCTGCAGCATGGGTTCAATTCCTGGCTGGCCAGGGAGATACTCACATGGCATGGCAGATCTCTTCTGCCTCACTCGCTGCTCCTCTCAGCAGTGCTTTTGGTCCGCCTGCCTGTTCTGCTCCCTGCTCTTCTCTGGTGAATCCTCTCACCTTCCCACACCTCTGGCCTGTACCCCAGCTCTTATATAAATTTAAAAAAAAAATCTTAAAAAAACTAAATTTGTAATTATATGTAGTGAAGTTACATGCAATTTTCTTTATGTAATGGAAAGAGCCCTTTCTCTCTCATATCCCATATCCAATGCATCAGCAAGTGTTGCCAGCTCCACTCTCAAGAGGCAGTTAGCTGGCAGGTCATTGCTTGCTACCTGGATCTACTCTGAAAGATGAGCCTGTAAAAATGTAAGTCAGATTTTGTCTATCCTTTGCTCCAGACCATCTGATGTCTTCCTATCTCACTCAAAGTAAAAGCCAAGATCCTTTCAAGAGCTGCATTATCTACATAATCTTCCTAATGCTTTCTAACTTTCTCCCCCACTCTACTCTTCCCGCCCAACTCCTTGAACACACCAATCTTTCCTGCCTCTTAGCCTTTACAACTGCTATTCCTCCTGCTTGGAATGCCGTGCCCTGGCTGGAAGCAGACATTCTCTGCTCCTCCTTCTTCTCTTCCTTTTCATCTCTGTTAAAAACATGCCTTGTTAGGGAAGCATTCTTTGACCATGAAAGGAAAACGTTAGTTTCTCTCCTTTGCCTTTCCCCTTCTGCTCCATTGTTTCCTACGATAATTCCAACCATCTGACATATAGTGTTTGATGATTTATTTGCATATAAAATTCCCCTACTTACCCTCCAACTAGTTGAATTTCATCTGTTTTGTTCCTATCTCTAGTATCTAGAACAGAGATATTGTATAGGAGCTCAATAAATATTTCTTCAGTGAATCAATGAGTCATATACACTTATTTTTGTATCCCCACTTACAGTTCTTAACTCTAAGTTAAAATAAGTTAAAATTCATCCCCATCAAGGGGATAAATGACTTATTATGTTCTTCATAATGACTTATTATGTTCCTATTCTTGATATTTAGATTACTTTCTCTTTCTTAATAAGAAATTCTACAACTGACATGTATCTAGTTTGTGAGGGAGAACTTCCTGAAAACCACCCATATAGATGTCATCAGATCACTACTGTGGGATCACTTCCCACAGGCTGACACTGGCTTTAGTTCCTTAAACTATTCAGCACCTGGCTTGCATGTTCTTTTCCACTGGCTGCCAGTGCTGCTGTTTGCAACACTAACAGTAATAACTCAGACCCCTCAACCACATCCCTCTCTCTTATTGGTAACTTCTGTTCTAAAGCAGCACAGGTGCACATTGGAATTACAAACCACTACATATTCCCAACACTTTACCTTTACTCTCTGCACCTCAGTTGCCCTGACCTCGCACCTATGCTGCTCAGATGCCTCCTTACATTTATATCAGGGCTTTGAAACTCCACTAAACACAGGAGTTACTGTGAGTTGTCCCTGAACTTGTATATGCATCAAATACTAATGTATGCTAAGTAAAACATTTTCCTATACATATTCTTCCCCATTTTAAATGTAGATTAATGTTATAATTTACAATCTACCAATTTATTTAATAGGGCCTCCCCGGTGGCGCAGCAGTTGAGCGCTGGGTTGTGAAGCTGCCCACAGCCTCTGCAGTGCTAGTTCGATATCCGGCCACTGGGTGAGGGTCCCACATGGCGCACAGACCTCTCCTGCTGCCTGCTGCTCCCCTCAGCAGTGTACTTCGTCAGTCTGCCTGCTCTGCTCTCCGTTCTGACTCCGGTGAATTCTCTCACCCTTCCGCACTTTTGACTGGACCCAGTGCTTGTATAAATAAATAAATCTTTAAAAAAATTTATTTAATAGTTACACAGGAGTTTTAGATCATTGTATATAGTTAAACTCAGTACCTTTAAAGGAAAGTAAGCTCCCTAGATGAAAGAATGCTGGAAACCACTGCTCAAGGTCTAGCTTAATTATCCAGGTTTATTATCTCTAGTCAGTCACAAGTGACTCACTTCCGGACGTGTGAATGGGGCTCTAAACATACACTAGAACCATGGCCTTGGGAACTCAGCCAAAAGTCACAATGTAGATTTTTGCATGTCATCACAAATCTGAGTCATGAACCTTGGAACGTCACTAATCATTTCTAATCCCGAGTTTCCTCTACCATAAAAAGGAGTTAACACTATTACTACCAGGCTTCACAGATGATCCAGTCAGAGAAGGGCTGGGTTTGCACAAAAGCCAGCTTTCAATTCTACTAAGGGTGCTATTTATTATGATGATCCCTTGTCCCTATAGCTGATCCATTGCCAAATTCCTCTTCAATTCCACCACTGTAATTGAGGCCCTGATTAATTTGTTCCCCAAGTATGTAGTTCTTCTTCCAACACTTCTCTGATTGCAATTTCTAAAAATTCACATATAGAGATGACTCCTCTATTTAAAGACCTTCAAGAGTCTTAACTAAATAAATTTATGTTGGGGAGTCCATTGTGGCTGTTGCCTATCTTCCTGGTCTCCTATCAAAGATTGCATCTCAACTGAATGAAGTGTTTTCTAGTATGTAGAAGCACTTGGTGCATTCCGATTCCAGCACCTTTGCTGAACTGAGTATGTCTTCCTATCTCACACCCCGATCAAATTACTTCCAAAGCTAACTGCAATGTTCCCGTCTCAAGAAAATCTTACAAGTCTCATTATGGAGGAAGCCCCCCAACTTCCACACAACTTGCACAACACTACGTACTGCTTGGCTTGTGCCATGTGCTGTGCCAGTGTTAGGCTACTTTGCTCTTGGCTGCTGGAGTGTAGGATCTTTGGGTGTGGGGATTGAAAGTGCTACCAGGGACTCTGCATTCAATAAGACATAGACATATGGTGTGAAAACCATGCAAACAGAAACCAACAAAATAGCAATCCAGAAACACACACATGTGCTCATGCAGCAAAAGCTGAAGTCTAAGGCGCATCTTCCATTGCATGCAGCACTTACCCGTGTTAGGTCTAGCGAGTCCCTGCTCAGAACCATTGGAAGAGTGAAAGAGTTTCAAGTGGGGTTTTAGACCATGGATTAAATTCTGACGACTTCTACAGTGATTACAATAACCTGGAGAAAGTTGAGAGTTCTGTTTTTTACAAAGAAATATAGATATGTATGTGTGGATCAAGTTTTTAAAACTGGAAAACAGGTTCAATCATTTTTAAAACTAGTCAAGGTTATAAAATCACTCACAAATTCTGTGCAATGGAAAATTGCAGGGCTTTAAAACAGATTTGAAAAGAACAGTAAATTTATAAGATACAGAAACTGATGTTTGAGGATAAGAGTTGATGCATTTCTAGAAGAAATAGAAATGAAATTTCTTCTGTGAAAAGCATAGAAAGTCCATTTAATACTTTTCTTTTACCTTTATAACCCGGTACTATTTTGGAAATGCTTAGTCATTCTGCTACCATCAGAAATAGGAATTGTGGTTTTATGACTACTTTGTGTGAATAAAACAATAAATCTTCTAAAATGATGCAAACAAAGGCATGATATTGCAGAGGATGAGCTAGTGACCTTCCAACGCCACTCATTCTATTCTATTATAGAAAGACAGATTTTAGAAGAAGGTATATAGTTTCTGGCTATGGAGGAATGTAAATAAGATCAATTCTAGCAAAGACACTGACTTACTGGAGATGGTGTCAATGCTGCTGACGCTGTCTGCATTGTGCAGCTGGTGCTTGTGAAGCTGCCTGTAGAGGCTGAATTTGGCTAATTTACTGGGCTTTCCTATTCCTTTCAGTTTTGAATCCATTTCATCTCTCTTTGGGCTGGGCAGATTTTTACTGGGTTCATTTTTATATTTGTTGCTTAAGGATTCCATGGACTCTGTTGTTTCACCCTGAAAAAAATTAAAAAAAAAAAAAAAGACATTGCATAAAGAAAGGACACATTACACTGTAATATGGTTCTGCATATCAAGGCAAGCTAGGGTGTAAAGTGTACGTGATGGAGGTTCCCTTCCAGATTCACAACGTGTGGTTCAGCCCCAGCCACCCGATTCCCAATGGGGGAAGCATGTGAATTGTGTAAATACTACCAAAAGAATTCCAGGTGATCCACTGTAGTTTCTCCTTTAGTAGGCCAAATTCCTGAAATTGCATACCAGTTAACTTCTTATCTCAAATACAATTACATGAGTTACACTTACTGTTGAGGTTCTGAACGTCTTCCCTTGATTAACATTAAGTCATGCTTTTTCTGGCAATCATTTTCCCTGTTACCTATTCACTAAATTGCTGTTTTCTCAGAAAAGTGACCATCAGCTCCAGCAGTAAAATGAGATGAAGACTGTCAAAAATTTTTATGAAAATACTGATATTTTGGTAGCCATTTTAGTTGAAATAATAAGCATATGGGTACAGGCATATAGATATTTTGGGAGCTCTTGATTTGAAAGGCACTCTGAGGCGCTGTTAACCTGCTTTCAAGTAGAATTCCTAAGTGACCCCAGACTGATCCCAGAATTCCTAAAGGACCACACTCTTCTATTTTTTGCAAGTCTTCAGGTAATTAAAGTCCAAAAATAGCTTGGCATTTACTTCTATTAAGAATGCATATTGTTATTTAACTTAAATCTCAATTGCAACTCAATTTTGTTTATGTACTTTTTTCCAAATAGGAAATCAGTCCTTAAGTGGAAAACAAAGGAGCTGACTACAAGGTAGCAAATGTTCTATTGGAGCTATTTTCTGTTCTTACCAGAGAGACTGAGACTAAGAGATGTAAAGTTATGGACTAGCTAGGTGACAGGTTGGTTTTTGAACTCAGCTCTGTCTGATGTTCAACTCAATGTTCTTTACTCCTGCAGAGACAAGCCACCTTTCATTCAACCAATCAGCCATGCTATTAAGACATATGTATAAATTATTTCCATTTCATGCAACTCCATAATGGTGAATCTTACCGTGAGGGAACCCAGGATTTGCCCCACAGGAACACGCTTCACACTGCCAACATCCGTGAGTCTGTGTTCATTGTCATCCCACCTTCCATAGGCCAGGTCAATCCCGCCAACAAAGGCCACTGACTGGTCAATGACGACAAGTTTCTCATGATGAGCCCACAGGTAAACAGAGGATGACACATGATCGGGGTGCCTCATCACCTTGAGAGGAAAATGAACCCCGATATGTAACCACTCAAAATGTCCTTCATATTATAGTAAAATAGGTCCATTTTCTCACCTCAATAGCATTCTCTAGAATTCAAATGTCAAAATGTGCTATGTATACACGCACACAAACCCCCCCCCAATAAAACCCATCCAGATATCTAATTTTATGCTCAGTATTGAGGAGAGGAAGAAGACTCCTAATTACATTTTTCAAGCCTCCACTGCCCTATCTTATTTTAGGACAACTGCATTCCATTTAGTTTGAAGTTGGCAACACATTTCAATATAGTTCAACAAAGTTCAAATATAATATCCATAGTTGATTTTCCTGCCACCAACTCCAAGAAAGATTATGTCATATCTATTATTATTTTGAAAACCTAAACAAAAATCCAACATCTAACTCTGGGAAATTTTTAATAAGTGCATTGATATTTTGGCAGTCACTGAGTTGAAATAGTAAGCACATGAATATAAGCATGTAGATATTTTTGGCAGCTTTTGATTTGAAGGGTACTTTGAGAAGTTATCAACCTCCTGCTTTCCAGTGGAATTCTTTCTCACTTCAGATGGATCTCTATCCTATATCTTTAAAGATTTATTTATTTATTTATTCAAGCACTGGGTACAGTCAGAAGCACTGGAGAGTGAGAGAATTCACCAGAGCCAGAGGGGAGAGCAGAGCAGGCTGACTGACGAAGTGCACTGCTGAGGGGAGCAGCGGGTGGCGGGAGAGGGCTGCGCGCCATGTGGGACCTCACCGGGCGGCCGGGATCGAACCAGCGCTGCAGAGGCTGTGGGCAGCTTCGCAACCCAGTGCGCAACCGCTTTAAGTAGAAACATTCCAAAAGCCTTGGAGAACTCTTTTTTAACATCATATTTTCTAATTAAAGTAAAATATAAAAAACATAAAGTTTACCACCTTAAGCATTTTTGAGTGTACATTTCAGTGATATTAATTACATTCATATCGTGTAACCATCACCATCTGGGAACTCTTCTCATTTCATGAAATTAAAAACTCTATAGTTGCCATAATCATAACCCCTTCTCTCTTTTCTGCAAACCCTGGCAACCACCATTCCATTTTCTCTATGAAATTGACTAATGTAGACATCCCTTATAAATGCAACAATATAATATTTATCTTTTTGGGGATGACTTATTTTACTTAGAATGTCTTCAGGTTTCAACCGTGTTTGCACATGTCATCAATTCTTTCCTTTTTATAGCTGGATAATATTCCTTTACAAGTATAGGCCATAGCTTGTTTATACAGTCAGCTATTGATGGAGACTAGTTTGATTCTGCAATTTAGCTATTGTTGAATAATAGTGCTTTGAACATGTATGCATATCTCATATACAAATATCTCTTCAAGACCCTGCTTTTGATACTTATGACTATATAACTAGAAGTGGAATTGCTGGGCCATATTGTAATTCTATTATTAATATTTTAAGGTACCATCACAGAAGCTATTCCATTTTATGTTCACTTCAGCAGTACATAAGGTTCCAATTTCTCCATATCATGGCCAATACCTATCATATTTCTTTTTTAATTAATAGCCATCCTAATGGAAATGAAGTAGTATTCATTGTAGGGTTTTTTATTTGCATTTCCCTAATGACAGTGATGTTGAGTGTCTTGCATTTATTCATTGACCATTTATTTATCTTCTTTGGAAAAATATCTATTCCTATACTTTGCTCATTTTTTCAATCAGGTCATTTACTTCTTTGTTGTTGAGTTTTCTCTATATTCTGGCTATTAATCCATTTTTAAATGGATATGTCTTGTAAATAGTTTCTCCTAATCTGTAGGGTTTCATTTTACCAATAAGAGTCTTTCGCTAAACAAGTTTTAATTTTCATGAAATACAAACTGCCTATTTTTTCTTAAGATTACCTATATAATCACCGCCAAGCCCTCTGTGGTAAAGTTTTGTTCTATGTCGTTTCTAAGAATTTTATAGTGTTAGCTGCATGCTTAGGTATTGCATCCATTTTTAATTAATATTGTATGTGGAGTTAGGTATGGGTTCAACTTCACTCTTGTGTGCAGACTTCCAGTGTTGCCAGTGTTCCCAATAGTTCTGGGCATCTTTGCTAAACATCATTTGTCCATCTATATGAAAATTTATTTCTGGGTTTTCTATTCTGTTTCCATTGGTCTATGTGTCTATCTTTATGTTACTACCAACCACTCTGTTTTGACTACTGTAACTTTGAGGAAGTTTTGAAATCAGTTAAGTGTAAGCCTCCCAACTTTTTTCCCAAAAAATTTGTTTTATCTATTCAGGATCCCTTGAAGTTTTATATGTGTTGAATGAAGTGGTAAAAGCAGGCATCTCTGCCTTGTTTCTGATCTTTCAGTTTTTCACCACTAAGATATGAGTTTTTCATATGAATTTTAATATGTTGAAGTAGTTTCCTCCTAATTCTTATTTTGCTGTTTTTATCATTAAAGGGTGTTGAATTTTGTCAAATGTTTTCATATATCAGTTGAGATAATCAAATTATTTTTGCCTTCATTTTGTTGATGTGGTATAGTAAATTGATCAATTATCATAGGTAGAACCATCTTTGCATTTGGGTTGGTTGTAGTGTATAATTGGTCGTAGTGTATAATCCTTTTGGTGTATAATCCAGTTGGTCGTAGTGTATAATCCTTTTCATATGTTGCTGAATTCTATTTGTTAGTGTTTTCTTGAAGATCTTTGTATCGGTGTCTGTAGAGGATGGTGGTTTGTGGATTTCTTTTTTAACAGTGGCTTTGCTGTCAGGCTGGCCTGCCTCACACAATTAATTAGGAAGTATTCCCTCTTCTTCCTTTGTTTTGAAAAGTTTGAGAATGACTCATATTAGCTCTTTTTTAAAAGTTTGGTACAACATTATATTTAAATCTGAAATATACAACCTAACTTTAGAACTTAAGAAAATAGAAAAAGAACCAAGCTAACCCAAAATTAGCAGAAGGAAGGAAATGAAGGTGCAACAGAAATAAAGGGAATAGAGAATAGACAAATAATAGAGAAAATCAGCAAAACCAAGTTAGTTCTTCAAAAAGATCAACAAAACTGAGAAAATCTTAGACTAAGGAAAAGAGTAAAAATTCAAATTACTAAAATCAAAAATTAAAATAAGGACATTATTGCCAATGCTAGTGCTTCATTCACTGATGAAGTCTCCAGATACAACACTTTTATTTTTGTTATTGGGAGATTTCTAAATGCTGATTGAAGATCCTTACTAGTTGTAAGTCTATTCATTTCTGTTTCTTTGTGACTCAGTTCTGATAGATTTTGAGTTTCTAGGAATTTGCCCATTTCATTTAGGTTATACAATTTGGTAGCATTTAATTGTTCATAGTACTCTGTATAATCCTTTTTATTCCTGTAGTATTGGTAATAATGTCCTCATTTTAATTTTTGATTTTATTAATTTGAGTTTTTACTCTTTTTCTTAGTCAGTCTAGCTAAGGGTTTATCAATCTTGTCAACCTTTTTGAAGAATTAATTTGGTTTTGCTGATTTTCTCCTTTTTTTTTATTCTCTATTCCCTTTATTTCTGTTCCAATCTTATTTCCTTCCTTTTGCTAACTTTGGGTCTAATTGGTTCTTTTTCTGGTTCTTTAAGTTCTAAAGTTGTATGTTTGAGGTTTTTCTTCTTTTTAACTATAAGCATTTATAGTTATAAATTTCCCCTTTAGCAAGGCTTTCACTGAGTTTCCTAAGTTTTGGTACAGTATATTTTCATTTTAATTTGTCTCCAGATATTTTCTAATTTCCCTTATGATTTCTTTTTTGATCCACTGGTTGCTTAAGAGGTTTTTATTAATTTTCACAAATTTGTACATATTTCAATTTTACTTCTGCTATTGATTTCTAATCCCATCCTGCTGTGTTCAGAAAATTACTCTTGTGCAATATCTGCCTTTTCAAATATTAATGTTTATTTGTGAAATAACGTACGATTTATCCTGGAAAGATGTCTCATATGATCTTCAGAAGAATATATTTTGTTGTTAGGTAGAGTGTTTTTTATGTCTATTAGATCTAGTTGGTATGCCTTATGTTTTTTGTTGTTGTCATTGAAAATTGGATATTTGAATCTAATAATGTAATTGGAAATCAGAATCTCCCCTTCATAAGATTTGCTGATTTTTTATTTTGTTTTTTGATTGTTGTAGGTTGTCTCTGGCCAGGATTCAGCCTGAGGTGTAATCTGAAGGTCCTCTTAGCTCTTTTTTTGAGACAGTCCTTTTCCATGAGCATGTATGGAGACTTCCTAAATTCCCGTTTATATGGTTTCTTTTAAATATCCCAGACTTTAAATATCTACTGCAAAAAAAGGGGGGAAAGGAGAAATATGAAAGGGGAGGGAACAAAAAAAATTGAAAAAGAAGAGGACACTGGCTCTTTAAATCTTTTGGAAGTAGCTAAAGCCAGAGGGGTAGGAACTTGCAATAGCTGTAGAAGGTATGCAGTAATGCAGCCCACCAAGGTGTCTAAATCTCCATGACCAACAATAGATTTTAGATATCAGAACACAGACCCCCAATTTTTTTAGAACAAGATCCTTATTCCTCCCCCTATTTCCCATAAGTTACTCCAAAATACATGCATGGCTGTTTGCTCCAGAGCTGGGAAATTGGGGTATGGGCTGTTACTGTCATTGATGGGACAGCGCCATCATGAGCAAGTGGTATTTGTTTGGGACTTCTGGACACTGCAGACACTATCTGGGGTGGAGATAGCTGGCCATTTGTGGTCTTAGAAACTCTGTTTCCCCAATCTCCTGTTTGCTAATTAAACCCATTATTGTTGTTCCCTGAGACTGAGTGGTCTTGCAATTATGTGCGCAGGTGAGAACCCATCGACAGTGACCTGTCCTCTACCTTGGCACTGTCTTTGACTCTCTGTCACACTGCAATAGCCTGTTCAATTCATTCATCAAAGCCTTAAAGTATCTCTTTTTTAAATTAAGTACAGGCTTACTGGGAAAAGGGGAAAGAGAAAGGCACCCAATTAGTCACAGTAGGTAGCAGAGCTGGAATAAGTATCATTTTCAAAGGAGGAAATCAAATGTAAGATCAGAATCAGAAAGATCTGAGCTGAAAAATTTAATCCCTTTAACTGTGTTTATTTCTAATACATTTTATACAATGTAGAGTGGTTGGTGGGATCAACAACACATTTTCACTTGTAATCAACTTTTATTTGCTGTGTGTTACTTAAAGACAGGGTCTTTTCGTCTTACAAGTACAGTTTCTTGCCCATAGGAGGTAATTGAAAGAAATCTGGTAAAAGAATGAATAATTTTTAGAAAGGATGCTATCAATAACTCAAATTCTCGGGGAGGGGGGAACATTTTCATTTTTTTAACAAAGCAAAATACATAATTGTTACATACTTTAGGCTTACTGGAGATTTAGTTTGTCTTGATGTCTCACAATGACTAGCCAATATTGTAGACTTTAGGTCTTTACTAATGTAGCATGTAGCTTTTTAAATTGCATATCACTTTTATTATTTTATTAGTATCTTACAGGAAATGATATTTTTAAAACCTCTTTAAATTCTAGAGAAGCCCTCTTTGTTGCTCTTAGCCTTCTAGGGATGTCAGAGTATGAACACATCTAAGAGATTCCAGGATTTTCTTAATGAAGAATGTAGAACTTGACAAATTCTTGAGGGGTCCTGAACTTGATAATCTCATGGTATTTTCACTTTTAAAACAACTTTAGGAAGCAGGTTCTTAGCTAAATGATCAAGGTAAGAAACGCAAAACTTGTGAACTCTCCTGAATCCATCAACGTTGGAAGGATAAGCATGCATAGTATTTTGCTTTATTTCTGAGAAGGACACAATGTTATTTATTCAAAATATATATTAGTGAATTCAACAGATTAACCACTACTCAAAACAACACATATCTGAAAAACTCTTACTTACAGACTTATAAAGAAACAACGTTCAGAAATACCTTTATGTTAGGGTGCAGACGCATTAAAGTTCTCTTGCTGTATTCACTGTTGATTCCAAGAGCAAGTTCTACCTCTTTGTATAGCATTATGAAGATCCTCACCCCCTGTTGCTGTAAGAAAAGAAAACACAATGAGGAATTAAAACTGCTGGTGTAAAAATTATGATTTTCTTTTTAGTCTTCATTTCTGTGCATGTATTTTCCAAACTTTTTTATATAAGTAAAATATATAACAAAATATTTAATGAAAAAGGCAGTAGGAGGTGAAACATAAGTGTATATTAAAACACAAATATCAGAAATAAAAATGTATCTCCCTCTCATTCCATTCCTTGGCATGACTTATCATACCAAGACAAAATGTCAGTATTTGACTAATTACAGTTAGAAAATTGAGATTATAACCTCAACTGCTAAAGGTGTCTGATAGTCTATACCCTTGCATATCTCCAAACACCTGTCATTGAGAAAAGTTTTGACCTAATTTATGCTATAGAGGGTAGGAGGTTTTTTTTTGTTTTCAATGAACTTCAGTTAATTGAAATAATAGTGTTTCCAAAACGCTGATGCAATAAATTATGCTAAATATTGCTTAAAAGTTTCAGGGATTATTTTTCCTAGAATTTTTCTTTATTTAAAATTATTTAAGTGGAAAATAATTATTTAATCCTCAAAGATGAATGTGTTCATACTCTGAGCTCATAAATAAATTGTTAATATCTGTTTCACTAGTAAATAACCTCTTCACAAGTCAGCTTCTCTGATTTTCAAAAAACTTGTTTAGCAGCAGCACATGAATTAACATTGATTTATCGTAGATCTTGGACATAAAAGAAAATAAGGTCATTGGGAGAGTCCAGTAAATCAAAACTGCTTGGTAAATGTTACCATGCTATATAAATAATACCCAACAGCTGGTAGTATAGAGAAGTACTAAAAAGAAGCATTTTCTTTTTTAGTTCTGGATGGTGACAGGTTGCTAAACCTATCTTATTTACCCCCACCCTTTGAATCCTTGTGCTTTTCTGGTTTGAATCCTCAGTATTGCTTTGTGATTTGCAACATTTTAATTTGTATTCTTGTTATCCAGCGTCTCTGAAAGCATTCCAAAACTTTCTGCATACATATTCAATTATGTATCTACAACCAGGCATTTAATACCCTAGAAATTAAAGGAAAGAAATTTTCCATAATACGCTCTAGAATATTAGAAAGATAGGCGTATCTAATAAACCATAGTGATAAAGAGTACTTTAGTTACTGTTTAAATTAATATTCCCTGGTAATTAGGCATCACTCATAATGGAAATTTGAGTTACAAATTTAAGATTCCTTACTTGGTTGAACATACCTAATTTACTAGAACTGAAAGATTTTACAAAGCTATAAAAATGTGAAATAAACATAAGTTAATATTTTTTAAATGGTCACAGGATATAAAATCTTGGAGTAAACCAAGCACATATATAGCTTGCCAATATTGCTTGGTTAATACTAACAAGCATGTTTTGGCCTCTACATTCCTAATAATTACATATGACATAGAATATATTATAAAATATAATAATATTTTATGTTCTTAACATGTAATATTGCTTCAAAATATTAATATGCTCTCTCTTAATGTTAGCAATATCTGAAAATATTTTTGAGACATTATACAAATAAAAATATAAATTTGCAATATAAAATATTTTTGGAGGGACACACTGTGTTTATGTTGAAGGTTGTGTTAAGGAAGTCTGAGTACTAGGAGAAAACCCAATTTTGCTCTGAAAAAAAAAAGGCTGGATAAAAAATATGGCAGGCCTCCCTGGTGGCACAGGCGGTTGAGTGCAGCATTGTGAAGCTGTCCACAGCCTCTGCAGTGCGGGCTCAATCCTGGCCTGCCGGCGAGAATCCCCACTGCTCCCCTCAGCAGTGTGCTTCATCAGTCTGCCTGTTCTGTTCCCTGCTCTGTCTCTGGTGAATCCTCTCACCCTCCCATGGATCTGGTTTGTACCCCAGTTCTTGTATAAATAAATAAATAAATAAATAAATAAATAAATAAATAAATAAATAAATAAATAAATGTTTTTAAAAAGTATGTCATTCCATTATCTCTGGCTAACAGCTGACCTTTGCAATTGCTTACTTATTTATTACAATGCAGCTATTATTGCAATCACACTCTTAAGAATAGACTTGTTTAAAGAAATCAGGAAATGAAAATGTAGGTAAGAAGAGAACAGATTAAATTCTAATGGTTTGGCTGAGGAATTCCCCACAACCACTGGTTGAGAGCTCTGAATGAAAACTAGAACATTATTTTATTTTTCTCCCCTACTATTCAGGTTTATTTCATTATTTTAATATTTTAGGATTCAATACTGAGTAACAATTACAAAATAACCTTCCTATTGAATGATATGGCACAAAGTTTAAAACCCAAAATTTCAACCTAAATTACACCACATTACACCTGACACCTTTCATCACACACGGTTCATTTGTTTCAACTGGATGAAACTCTGCATCTTGTGTTTAGGAGATTATTATTTATAGGTGGTAGTTGCAAATTAAGAATGTCCTGAATCTTACAATTTACCATCTACCTTCCTAACTAATGGATTTTTGAGATAATAGAGATGTTAGCCTAATGGATTATATTATTAGCCTCCCTCTATTAATATTTGACATTTTCTTCTATAGTGTGTCTTCTCTCATTGAAATAAATTAACTCTAAAAGTAATGTGGTACAGACTTTTAAATCTTTTAGCTTAAATATAAATGACTAACAAGGAATTAATTAAATATAAAAAGTTCGTTTTTATGTAGTCTGGTTAACAGCTATTTACTCCCTTATTCACAATAAACAGTTAATTAGTGACAGAATTTCTGTGATAATAAAACAATAAATTACTCTTCTTTTAGTATCATAACACTATCATAAACTCTGAGCTATAAGGGCAAAGGAAAAATTCCTTGGCAATGAAAGTTATAAGAATGTGGATTTATACAAAATGTGGGAAATATTTGTACAACTGAACCCAACATTAGAAAAAAAGAACTGGCGTTAACTCAGAAATTTGAAAAATGCACTTTTAAAGCATCTGTTGTCTGTTTTGCCAATGCCTTTTAGTGGCCTTGAGGAGAACTGTTTATTATTTAGAGAGAAGTATTTATTGAGGAAGTAGGAAAACAGATGGCCTGGAGTTGACTATGTGGTGCCACAGTTTTATCTCTGCTGACCTCAACGACTGATAACATGAAGCCTCCACAGAATAAACTTCACAAGATCTGAATTTCAAAGGATGAAAGTTCTGACCTATTTTTCCATTAGCTTTTAATCAAGTAGACCAGAAAATGCTAGAAACAATAGGAAGTTTCAGGAGCTTTACATGTACAAAGCACATGTCCAGACAATGAAAATAAAAAAAAAAAAATTTTATCGTGAAATCAATGAGGCTTATTTTTTAGCCAGTTTTTTCCCAATGATTGTTCAAAGTGCTACAATCAAAATATTTCCCAAATGCAACCAGTTTCTTTTGACTAAAGAGAGCTTAGTTGGCACATCCCCAGGATAATCAGTAATTGTATCACTTTTCAAGGAAGTCCCCAAGGACATATTTCCAATAATGTAAGAAAATGAGAAGTAAAGGGGAAAACAAGGAGTTGTATCCTGTGATTTAAAATCAGAAAGTATTGGGATATAAGAACCCAAATGGTCAGTTGTTTTTTCCTTTTTACCAGGTTTGATTAAATTGCAGTTCTCAATGATGAAGACACATTCTCTCCTTTCCAACCATGTTCTCCTAGCTCACCTCTTGGATAAGATTCAGTCTTATTTTTCTGTTTTATCTCATGTGACAACCCAGACAGCTTTCCCTCCTATTGATTACTGATCACAACTCTAAAATGAGGACCTAAAGCTGTTTCTGTAGGTCTCCAAGATGCTACTTTCAAAGATTCCTTTGATGCAAATCTCACCAGCTTTAACACGTATTTATTTCTAAGGCTGAAATATATAAGTTGGGTACAGACATACAATTACCATAACTAGGAGCTAACATATCTCACTTTTTCAAATAGTAAATGCAAAACTGTAGGAATCCCTCAGATGCTGGTTTGGGTTGTAAACAGTTTGTCTCTCATGATTGGCTATTTTAAATGATGACATTGATATCAAAAGGTCAAAGACACAGGAAAATATCAATTTTGTTATTGCCAGAAAATAAAATACTACATTTTGCCCCTATGAAACAGCAATTATATTCACCTTATATGAGGCAGAGAAACTAAATTGCTCTTTAAAAAAATATGCACAATCAGGCAGAAGAAAAAAATCATATATTGTAATCAATCTGTGGACCTCTGGGACTCATTAATGCAAGAAAAAGTGTTGTTTTCAACCCCATACTTTGCGAAGCTAGCAGTTTTGTGAAGCTAAATTATTTATGTGAAGCAGTGCTATGAACATCTGAAATGTCAGTTTGGAATGATCTGAGTGTTAAAAATTTATGAAAAATAATATGATGTAGCTATATTAAGGAGGAAATTCTGCTAAGTGAACTACTGAGAAATTAATATTTAATAGTATTATTATTTCCTGAAGAAATTTTTCAAATCATTACAAGCAATTTAAAAATTGTAAGAATTGTAAGTTTCAGGAAACAAATGAAAATTGGAACAAAGCCCCATTTCGGGCAATGAGAGTTAGTTAGACATGGTTTTTACCTGAGACTTCACCAGGGTTCACGGCTCATTAAAGCAAAGAGAAGTATTGCATTAGAAAGGCAACTGGATGAGTACACTGAGAATAAGCTAGCATGTGCTGGCTAACAGGATGCGGAGGACCAAGTCTGCAGGCTCTTCCTTCTGACTCTGCGTTCATTTTCTAAGTGCTGTGGAGTTCATTTAGATGTCTGATAGGTGACTCATGCCCAACTCACCTGAATCTTCCTTACTTCTTTTCACTACCAGGTGCCCCTACCAACACTTTATTTTTTTTAGATTTATTTATTTATGCATACAAGAACTGGAGTACAGGCCAGAGGTGTAGAGGGTGAGAAGATTCACCAGAGACAGAGTGGGGAGCAGAACAGGTGGACTGACTGAAATACATTGCTGAGGTGAGCAGTGGGAAAGTCAGGAGAGGTCAGCCGTGCCATGTGGGAGCTCCCTGGCCAGGGATTGAACTTATGCTGCAGTGACTGCGGAAAGCTTCATAGGTTACGTCTTAAGCCCATGAGCCACCAGGGAGGCCCCACCTATACCTTATTTTGATCATATCACCCTTTATCCATAAAATCTCCCCCACAGTCCCACCCCTACAGTAGTTCTCCACTGCTCCAAGCAAATGGCTCACTTGGCTCACAAAACTTCCACTTCCTGACTGCCATCTGCCTTTCTTGCTTGAATCTGCCATCTTACCTACACTAAGACTCAGGCTTAATTAGCCCTGTCACCTTGCTGTAACTGATAAAACCATCTGAACTCCTGTCTCCAGAACATTTCCTACACCTAGAAATTTCTTCTTTACATTACAAAATCACTTGCCCATCCTAAAAAGCCTAACTCCCTTGTGTTGTGAGAGGAGAGGCTTCCTTACCAACCTGCCCAGTAATCTTTCTCCTGAAACTTGACATTGACTCTGTACCAAGCTGACGCTTGTGCAGATATTTAAGCTGTGTCAGGTCAAGAATCATGTATTTTATTTACTTACTTCCCATATGACTAGTCAAGTGCCCCGCACACAGTAGGTATTCAGCAAATACATGTTGATTAAAACCTATAGTGAGAGGGGCCTCCCTGGTGGCACAAGGGGTAAAGACACAACCTACAAAGCTGTCAGCAGCCACTGTAGCAGGAGTTCAATCCCCGGCCAGGCAACTGACCCACATGGCACAGCAGACTTCTCCTGACACGCCTGCTACTCCCCTCAGCAGTGTATTTCAGTCAGTCCACCTGTTCTGTTCCCCACTCTGTCTCTGGTGAATCCTCTCACCTCCCCCATACCTCTGGCCTGTACTCCAGCTCTTGTTTGCATAAATAAATAAATCTTTACAAAAAACCTATAGTGAGATATTAGATAAGTACTAAGTATTGGATAAGCACTAAGGGTGCTGATTGTGAGGCAAGACTGGAAAAACCAATTAAAGTGGAGTCTTCAGGAGAAAAGTGGAAGGTGCCACGTCAGAGAGAGAAATGTGGAAAAGTTATGGCCCATTTAAGATATAATATTTAATATACAGTATGCAGGTTGGTATGTCCAGGACTGAACCCAGGAAATGAGTACCACAGCATGCCCTCTGTGGGCAGGGACAGAATCCTTTTCACATGTGGCATCCTTAATTAGTGTGGTACTCAATAACTCTATGCTGAGTTATTAAATGAATAGACAAATAATACTTTTCAAGACCAGAATTTTCAATTCTATGAATAGAATTCGGTTGAGACAAAGAATTGCGCTAGCCATGAAAATGATGTTGTTGGGCAAAACATGTCTGAAATAAAAATTATCAACTCATTTACTTTCAATATGGACAACGAGGTGGAACTATATCAATGAATGTCTCCAGAAATGCCAAAGCGAAGGTATGAGGAAATGTCACTGAAAGAAGGTAGAAGGTTAGTGGAGAAAGGAGTCACGGAGAAAGGAAATAAATGAAGCCTGTGAGACAGTTTTAAATAACAGTGAAAAGGCTAGCACTCCCTAATTGACACATAATTTATAATAAATCCAGATTTAGTCTAATTCAACTTACTCTATCATGGCTAAGATCAACTACACTTAAAAAGAGGATTAGAAATATCACTGTAAAGTAGTTGTTGGTAAGCTTATACTGTTCTACTCATTTATATTTTCTTTTTTAACAAAAAGAGCACACTCAGTGCTTACCCAGAATCTATAGGGTTAATTACACAGGAAACAATTTCATATTATTTCCATGAACTGTCCCCTAACTGAAACAAAACGGCACCAATTCTTAATGTCTCTCTTCATTGATATTCTTTAATATCATCTCACTGAACATCATCTGACTGAAATTATTCTCTAGATGACTATGTTTTCCTCAAATGCCAGAATAATGAAAATAAACTGTTGTGTTACATTAATTAATAAATGATGAAATGTTATTACATTTTTCTGCCTATAAAATTAACTGTCCATAACTGGTTCTAAAGCAAAAATTAGAGCTGCTAATATAGTCCGTGCTGTGAATTAAGCTAAAATATTTATGCACTCAAGAGTAATAAGAAAAAAGAAAAAAATGACCTTAAAATCAGTAAGCATTCTACTTTCTATCAAATTATAAAGAAACATTATAAGTTTTATATGAAGCGGTTTGAAAAAGAAAAGACATATCAGAGGCACAAACATTTTTAAAATTATATCAGCAGTTGTTTGGAAAGTACATACTGCTTTTCGTTTAAGAATGCAGTCCAACCTCCAACGATTTCCTTCAACCACCGGGCGTTTCAGGAAGATTTCTGGACTCAACCTGAAATTATGAAACCAAGATTTCAAGAAACCGAAACAAAATATAAAGTTCTGGAAGCAAAGGTAATTTTAGCCCTCATGCTATCATCATCCTCCACTGTGGTGAGTCATCCAAAGTTTAAGTCCACCCTACAACTTCCTTTTTTTTTTTTTAAAGATTTATTTATTTATTTATACAAGCACTGGGTACAGTCAGAAGTGTGGGAGGGTGAGAGAATTCACCAGAGCCAGAGCAGAGAGCAGAACAGGCAGACTGCCCGGGAATCGAACCGGTGCTGCAGAGACTGCGGGCAGCTTCACAACCCAGCGCTCAACCGCTGTGCCACCGGGGAGGCCCCCACCCTACAACTTTCAATGGGAACAAAAAGCCTTCTTCCATGAAAAAAGCCAATTTAGGTTTCTCTTTCAAGCAGACATGTACACAACACACACAACTGCAGATAACAGTGGTTGCCCAACCCACAGTCATTCTTTACCTTCTCCTTTATGTTGTCAGAGTCTACCTCCCACTAGAGTCTGAATATTTTATACCTGCTTTCCCAGGTTCCCGTGAAGCTAGAACACAACATGATGTGATTCTGGACAGGGAGATATATGAGGAGGTATGCATGGGATGCCTGGGGTTAATGGGAAATTTTGTTCTCCTAGATGTAAAAGACCTACACACACACACACACACACACACACAGAGAGAGAGAGAGAGAGAGAGAGAGAGCCAGGAAAAGAGGTTTTCAAAAGGAAGTTGTATGACGGCATAATGATTTTAGTGAGGCAGCCATACTGAACTTCTAAGGGGAAGACCAGAAAATTAAAATCACGAGACCCTCCATCAATTCTAGGATTGCCTGACTTTGGATTTCTTATCAAATGAGTTAAATAAATACCTGTTTAAGCATTCAATTATTAGTTGAGCATTCTCTTAACCCAAGCTGTAAGTGTTCTAATTGATAGCTATAGATACACTTGACTTCCTATACAAGTGTCCATGGATCTTCAGACTTTCTGAGTAGAGAAGGTAACCTAATGGATAAATGAACTTTTCCCAGTGTGAGAATGGATCCTCAGGCTCATGTCTTTAGTAAAGCCACAAACAGCTAGAACTACAAGAGTCACTTTTCCCCTTGGGGTTGAATTCTAAATTCAGTGTCTGGGTTAACTATGTAATTTTACTCCCCTATAATGAGAGGAAAAACAAGTAAAGCATGAACAATAAAAATAACCACTACATGCTGAAAGACGTCCTATAGGAGCAGTAGTAGGCTATGTAAATACTGAACTTTTATAGAGTTCTAGTTTGGGCTACTGTCTTGCCAGCATGTCTTCTATGCGTGTAAGAAGATAGGGCTTTAGAAACTAAAGAGATTGAAAGAAATAATATTATGTTCTATTTCATTCAGTTAAAGAAAATCAAAATCCAGACATAGAATACCTAAAAAAAAGACATATTGGGTAAGATTAATAAGAAAGTAGACATATGGAGCATTTCGTGCAGTATAAATACTTGCACATTTAGTTTAGAGTAGGAGACAATTCAAAAGTAAACTATATCTGCACATACAAAAAAATCCAGCAATTGATATGAAAAGATCTAAGATGAATTTCAAAGAGATATGTTTTAAGTAGAGAAGTGCCTCACTCTAGTGTTGGTTCATGAAAGATAAGACAGATTCTATCTATCATCTATCTGCAACTTTTCAATGTTCATATTAATTATGGACTCCATGAGCTTAAGATCTGGATCCACTTTCAAGGTTATACTTTACAACTTGGTCTTCATTAATCTTTATTTAATCTACAAGTGTGTATCATGGATGCAGGGCCTTATACTAGATACTTTGAAGTATCTTAAGACAGCTCTCAAGGAGCCATTAATTTACATGGATAATACATTAAAAGATAATACATGGATAATAATGTAGAAGATAATACATTTTATAAACAAAGTATAAATAATTTCTTTGTGGCAAGGAGAGCAAGTATAATTCATAAGCATCATTATGTCAGGATCTTTACTAATTTAATAATTAGATAAGCAAAAGTTTAAAGGAATTGTATAATAGTGCATTTCAATGAGGCAGGGCCAATTCTTATCAGATACATCATTACTGTGTGTATCAAAAAAGGAAAAAATGATGAGTTGTAACTGTAAGATTTTGTTGAGTACAAGATACATCCTGTTTTCAGAGATGTTAAAATGTACTTTTAAGAAAATGTTCCTTTTAGAAGATTTTAAAGCTTTAACGGCTTATATGAGAAAGACAAATTTCAAAATTAATGATCAGAGCTGCCATCATAAGAAGAAAAAAGAATAAATTAAACCTTAAATAAGATGAAGAAAAGAAATAAGGTAATAGTGGAACCATATAAAACAGAACAATAGGAGAGAAAACGTAAATCAAAACTAGCCCTTCGATAGGATGAATAAAGTTGATAAATTTCTGGCTAGATTAAAAGGGAGTTTGACTACATTAGATTCCTCATGTAGTGAGTGTTCTTCGTGGGACTTATTTCACTCAGGCTGTTACAATTGGCAGGATTTCCTTCTTTTTAAAAGGTGAATAATACTACATTGTATAGAAATACCACCTTTTCTTACCCATTCATATCTTGATGGAATTTTAGGTCGCTTCCATTCTTGACTATTGTGAAAATGTTGCAATGAACATGGGAGTGCAGATATCTCTTCCTGACCTTGATTTCAATGCATTTGAATATATGAGTCCAGAAATGGGAATGCTGAATTACATGGTAATTCTACTTTTAATTTTTTGAGGAACCTCCATAGTGTTTTCCATAGTGGCTGTACCAATTTACATTCCCAGCAACAAGAGTGATTGTCAGGGACTGTGGTCGGGGAAAGCAGGAAATGGAGGTCTTGGTCAAAGGGTACAAAGTTTCAGTTATGCAGGAGACACACTCCTTGAGATCTACTGTACGGGGCAGTGCCCACAGTTAACAATATTATATTGTATACTTAGAAATTTGCTAAGAGAGTAGATCTTATGTCTACTGTTCTTATCACAAAAATAGAGGATTAGAAGAAACTTTTGGAGGTGATGGATATGTTGATGTCATCATTGCACAGTGCGTGGCTGACCAGGATAAAGACTCACCTTTCCAGTTAGAGAACTAAAAAGAGAAACCATGGGGATCCCAAGAGTAGCGGGGAGGTTCTGGTTCAAAAGTAGCGGGGAGGTTCTCAGCTTAAGCTGCCTTTTTTTTTTTAAGATTTATTTGCTTATGCATACAAGAACTGGGGTACAGGCCAGAGGTGTGGGGGGTGAGAGGATTCACCAGAGATAGTGGGGAACAGAACAGGCAGACTGACTGAAATACACTGCTGAGGGGAGCAGCGGGTGAGATAGGAGAGGTCTGCTGCACCTTATGGCAACTCCTTGGCCAGCTGGGGATTGAACTCATGCTGCAGAGGCTGCGGATAGCTTCACAGTGCTGTGCTTAACCCTTTGCGCCACCAAAGAGGCCCTTAAGCTGCCTTTACATGGAATTGATCCTAAATATTTTCCAGTGTTCACAAACAGAAAGAAGTGAATTACGGCTCAGACCAGCCACTAGGTGGAGCACTTAGTGGTCATGTCTGAACAACACAGCAAAGACTTTGAAAACAAAACTGATATTAAAACCACACGGATAGATGGCTAATTGGAGCTTTCAGCCTGAAACTGAGTCAACTGTCTATTAAACAAAAGTGTCAACATTATCCACAAGATGTACATAAGATCCAGAGTCAGACAAAAACAAACAAATAACAAATCCTACAAATCTGACTATGGAATTGAGGCGCAAGAGGTGGAATGGAGAAACACAGTGGGGAGCAGGTATAATGGACTATGGGAGAGGATGGTAGGTGCCTTGGAGCGGGTGTAATGTGGTGACATGTATCTAGGAGGTGTGATCCTACGCCTCTGAACCACATAGTGTGTTGTAAACCAATGTTAACTCAATTAAAATAATTTTAAAATAATTTTTCATTTAATAATTTTTATTTAATAATTTTTAATTATTAAAAAAATAATTTTAAAAAGACCCAGAATCTTTTAACATTCAAAACTTCTAGATAAGATTTTTTTTTAAAAAAAATCACTTGGCATACCAAGAATCAGAAAAATCTCAACTTAAAGGAAAATGACAATTGATAGATGTCAATGCCAAGATACCATTGATGTTGGAATCAGTTACTGTAATTCCTTGTCAGATATTTTCAAAATGTTCTGACAAGTAAGATGAATACGCTTGATATAAATGGAAAGATAGAAAATCTCACCAAAGAAATAAAAAATATATATATATAGAAGAACTGAAGAGAAACTTTCAAAGTAAAAAATATAGTTACAGAAAAGAAACTCTTACTGATAGACTCAATACCAGAATAGAGATGACAAAGAAAATAAAAGATAGATAGACATTATCTAATCTGAATAATGAGCAGAAAAAAATTGAAAAAATAAATGAAGAGTCTCAGAGACCTATGGGACAATACTAAATAACAATATTTGTACAAGAGGAGGCTCAGGCGAAGAGTAAGAGAAGTGCAGGAAGAACCTAGAGAAATAATAGCTTGCAATTTGGTGGTGGGTGTGCTGTTGTGACATTCATCTGGAGAGATATCAACCCACACAACCAAATAATATTCAATTTTATAAATCATCATTACAATTATAATTGTAAAAAAGTATAATTTAAAAATGTCATTCAACATAAAAAAATTTTCAAATTTGGGCCTCCCTGGTGGCACAGCGGTTGAGCGCTGGGTTGCGAAGCTGCCCGCAGCCTCTGCAGCTCTGGTTCGATCCCCGGCAGCTCCCCAGCCACTGGAGGAGTGTCCCACATGGCGCGCAGACCTCTCCTGCCGCCCGCTGCTCCCCTCAGCAGTGTACTTCGGTCCTTCCACCTGCTCTGCTCCCTGCTCTGGCTCTGGTGAATTCTCTCACCCTCCTGCGCTTCTGACTGTACCCAGTGCTTGTATGTATAAATAAATAAATAAATTTTTAAAAAAAATTCTCAAATTTGGTAAATGACATAAATCGAGATGCAAGAAGCTCAGTGATCCCCTAAAAGGATTCACCCAAACATAATAAACTACTGAAAATTAAAGAGAAAAAATATTGAAAGCATGCAGAAGAGAAACAACTTAGAGCAATGATTCAATGACTGAATTTCTCATCAGAAACCAGGGAGACCAGAATGAAGTGAAACAACTTGTAACTAGATGTATAAAGATCTCTTACAACTCAATACTTAGAAAACAATCCAATAAAAACAAGGGAAAGAAAGATTTGAACATATGTTTCAAAAAAAGCTAAAATATAATTTTAAGAATCACAGGAAAATATGTTTCATGTAAAAAGATGTTTGCTGATCTGTCTTGTTGAGCTTCACTTTTCTCATCTATAACTTAGTCTCTAACATTTAGTTAGAAATCACCAAACAGTAGTCATTACTGACTATTAGTAGTCATTACTAATGACTATAGTAGTCATTACTTTGACTATGCCTTAGAAATTACCTTGTAGAAAGGTTGACATGACTTGCCCAGGTTAGTACTTCAGCACCCTAACGTGTTCTGAGCACCTTTTCCCTCGTGAATGACACAATAGTTCTCTAAATGGTCTCTATAAGTACTGTTCAGTTCCTCTTCACACTATGAAGTGAATGATTCCTTTTAGAAAACAAATGTGATTGTGTTTCCCACGCTTAAAAATTTTCAGTGGTTTCCAATGTTAACGGGGTTCAGTCCAAACTCCTTAGCAGATCATCTACTGTCCACCATTTGGCCCTAACCCATTGTTTGCGTGTCAGCTCTACCCACTATTACAAAAGATGCTATAGTTAAGCTGTACATAGCCTCTGCCTTCCTCCAGCATCTTTCTGCTTCCCCACATGTCTGTGCTTTGTTCTTGGCTAAAGCATTCACCTGTGTTCATCTGGCCGATTCACTCACTCACCAGTTAATGTTCGCTAGTGAGCTCCCACACTCCTGTGGACTCAGTCACTGCCACTTCCTGTGCTCCCTCCATGTCTCCTTCTCAGTGAGTTTTCCCTAGTCCTTCGTTTCTGTATCTGACTTCCTGACTCCATACTGTTCCAGGATAGGCACTGCTTCTTACTCGTCTTCACTTATACTCCGCCTGGCTCAGGGCCTGACACATCTCGACTGCTCACTACATGGCTCTGGAATGAATGAGTGAACGGCAAATGAATGGACAGATGGTAAAATGAATTCATGAACAAAGAAAGTAAGTACTTCTAGGTCCCTGGTTGTTTCTCATTTTACTATATATGCCCTTCTTGAATGCTAATTATTTTAGAAACATATTAATGTAGTTTTCACTTATGTAGAATTAGATTAGAAGCTTCTAAAGGGTACGTGGATCCTCTACCTATGCTTTACACTCTCAGAACAAAATATTTTAGTGTTGGTTAAGTTTCTGAAAACTCTATTTTGCAATATACTTGCATACCAAGAATTTTCTTCACTGGTATAACAGAAGTCACTGCATAGGTTTTATTTCAAAGGGAATGTTGTAATAAGATGCTCTCCCAGCATCATCATGAAGAAGAAGTAACTTCCTTATTTTTTTTCTCACTGACAATAAAGGAGAAAACATTCAGGATTCCATCTCTTTATATGTCTAAATGAGAGTCTGTATTTTGGTACTTGTAACTTTCTGGAGAGAGAGTATTTTCTTGCAAAAAGGCGCGAAAATATGGGTTCAATGGAAAAACTATTTTCATGCTGTCATGTTTTTGCCAAACTTTCAGAAATATTTTTCTAAAAGACTATAGTACTTCCTTAAACTTGAGTTTATTTTTATAAGTGGTTAGTAAGTACTCAACCAAAGCAATAGCTTCTATGTGTTGAAACTTTCTTTTACTTCAGTAAGGACTGAAGAGATAAAGTCTGGCAAGAATAAAAAGCCCAAACTTAATTTCTTCCTTAAACATAAGAATAAATAGGCTCATGGGCAGCAGACTATCATCTATTGACTGCAGATTAATGATTCTCAACCAAGAGAGACTTTGCCCCAAGGGTATATTTGGTAATGTCTAAAGACATTTTGGTTACCACAATTGGGAACTTGCTACTGGCATCTAGCGGATAAAAGTCAGGGATGCTGAAGCTGCTAGACATTCTCCAACTATCCAATAACCTTGGCTCCAATGGTCATTACCACATTTGGGAAAGCATGCTCTCTCTACATGATAAATTTTCACATCACTGAGACAAAACAGTAGAAAGAGAGAAGCTCATATTCCTAAGTACTCCCACAAAATCTAAAACTAGAATGAAATAAATTAAGATGATATGTTCACAGTTCATATATAAGGTAGCATTTGGAAGGAAACAGAAAAACTAAGAGGCATTTGAAACAACTAAGTTCTTGGAGAGAAAACACATTTTAGACATTTTAAGTTTCATTGTAGGCAAAGCTGGCATCTGCAATGGGTTTTAACTATCCAGACAGATGGATAATTGGAGCTAAAGTCAGACTACAAAGGCAGCAGCAACTCCAGGAGTAAAATTTCCCAAAAGCTAGATGAGTTTTAGTTATAAGACTTCCAGTGGCTTTAATAAGCATTGTAACTCTCACTGATGTTTTTAAAGTGATGTATCTCCAAAAAGTCATTACCAAGGACATTTTAATAGTAATAGTCAGAATAGAATTAATTCAACTTCAATGGGACAATTCAGGGGAAGTCTATTCACTGGCTCAGGAAACACATATGCAGAATGAGGAAAGACACCAAAGAAGATTATTTTCCCTTACCTCTGTAAATGTATTTGCATTGCAATGTAATCTTTACTAAAGTGATTATTTGGGTGTCTGCATCCAAATAAAAAGACAAAAAAAAATTGTTCAACCTAAATATTTTAAGAATATACGCAGATGCCAAGTTTTGTGAAAAGGCCTTTCACTGAAAGCTATTACAGTTAATTGGTTGAGACTTTGGCCAAACCACCTGTGGGTAATGCCAGTTTTCATAATGGACCATTCTAGAAGAGCACATTTTTCTAAACATAGAGACCTTCAAACAAAATCCCCATGGACAAATACTAACCACCAATCTGTGATAAAAATCTCTTCCTTTGCCTCTTCCATTGCATTGGCCACATCTTCAAAGTATCCTTTGGCATTAACATACCTGAAAGACAAATTTTTCTCTTGACTTTTTAACCAAAAAAGAAAGAAAAGAAAGAAAGATATTCTATGGAAAAGTAAAAGATGGAAGGCACTGTTTAGTGTCTCCATTAACCAACAGTTTACTTTACATATCTGGAAAACAAGAATTGAAAAGATAACTTTCCATTTGCTACCTAGGAAGCAAAGTAGACAGAAGTGACATGATTCTTCTCTGCTGTGAAAGCAACAAATTAATTTCCTTGTCTTCCTCTAGGGGCAGATGATCTTCCATCCTGCTGAACTCATACACAGTTGTTCTTCTGAGACTAAAAGCAGATCAGTTTCCAATCCATGGTAGAAAAACATGCTAAACAAAATTTTATTTAAAAGAAATATCTTGCAGGTAAATTCAGGTCCTTAAATTATGGCTAATTACTTAAATAAACCTTCTATTTGCATCACTAAGCAAATGTATCACATTTAGCTTTTAAAATCAAACTTCTAAATAGAACCACCTATTTGAACCTCACAGCAAAGACCTTTAAAAATTGGAAAACTAAGCTGTGCTGAGGTAGTCTTATAAAAAGAGGCCCTTGTCAAGTATATCTTTTCACAGATTCAAAAATTGAGACCAGGTGAATTCAAACCACTATAATATTAGATGCTACAGCAACCTTGACAGCCTTGGAGCAAAAAGATCTTACCATTTGGCTAAAGTGTTCTCTTGGACAGCAGCATATGACCCAAATCGATGCTCTTTGAGAAAGTTGGTGCCATGTTTCTGGATGAATTCTTCTATAGCTCCTCCCCACCACCGAGCATGTCTATAGCTATTGCATTTTAAAATAAGTGTTCTTCAAAGAAAAGAAAAATGTGGAAAAGAATAATCACTCTGTGTTCTGGCTCTTTAAACAAATATGAAAATTAAACATGCCTCATTTTGTTTTGGTACTGCAGCAAACATTTTAGGCATCTTATACTGCAAAAAATCCAACTTCTAAATATTTTTTGGCAGCACTTTAAAATAGATTCAATAAAGCAAAAATAAATTTTCAGGTTATTTATTCACTCATTCACTCATGCAAACAAATATAAAGGTAGTTATAGACCTAGAGCTGTGCTGGGTTGTGAGGCAGATATTAAAAGAGAGCTAAGGTTAGTTAGAGACTTGTTCACTCTTGTAGAAAAAAAATCTCACTTTGTACTGTCTCTGTCCATTCCCTTGGCCTTTGGAACCATCATCCTGATAGTAATTGAGGAGAGTAATACCTCCATCACTCTGAGTCCACTGAAGCCAAATAAAATGGCGTATTTCAGCCCCTGATTCCTAGAACTAGTTCAGGGATAAGTACATCAGTCAATTCCATCCAAAGAGTAAGAATACACACATGAACTTGCCCAGGAATGCCAGAGACTCCCTTCTACTGAATTTGGTTTGAGTGTGGGAGGCGGCCATCTTGCTAGGACCAGCAGACCAGCTCAAGATTGGAGCAGATCCACAGGAAGCATTACTGGAAAAACCTGGGAAAATGTGACTCAGTGGCGTAGTTTGATCCTTGCAATGAGCCATGCAAAGGAGGCTCATTAATTCTCTCTGATGTAAGTCAACTTTCACTACATTATTCTGTTGCTAATAAGTAAATTCCCTTGAACAGTCACAAATCTACAAGGGCTAAAAAACATTCAGAGTAGGAGACTACAAAAAGTTATTCCATGCCAAATGTCAGTATAGGTGACTCCTACCAAGGTGAAAATAAGTCACCCAGTTCAAAGGAAAACATGGTGTTGGAACCACCTGTCTCTATGCCATTTAGGCAGAAACCCAACCTGTTCCAAAATAAGAATAATACTGTAAATGTGAAAGGAGAGCATGCTGTGGGGAAGAAATGCAATGACCCTGATGAGAAGCATGGAGAGGACTATACTCACACATCCTAAAATAACTATTTATAAAGACTAGGTGTGTCCAAACTTGTCTCCTCAATACATCAGAGACTGATGTTTAGTTGTTTTCTGAAAACCACTGAACCATGAAGAGCCAACACTGCTGGGGTGGGGACACAGGCCAGGTGAGGTGTGGGGAGCTGAGAGAAGGGAAGTATCAGGTGTGGCAGGGGAGATGTCAGTTTCTAGGGGTGAGGCAAGAGGGTGTGAAAAGCCCCTGGCCTTTTGCCACCACACAAGTACTACACAGTGGAGTTGAAATGCCTCTGAAAACCAGTTACAAGAAAAAGATTCTGTAAAAGTGGTAAGTGACAAGCAGAGGTATCACTTGTGAATCAGAGCAAAGGAGTGGAAAAGACAACCACTGCAGTACATTGAGTTCTACAGAGACAGTGCCAGGGCAAGTGAGAGTGGAACAAGCAGCTGGCAACTGTGCTTCACTGAGGAAAAATATACCTAAACATGGACAAAAAAGATCCTAAGAAGCTGACAGGCAAAATGCCATCATAAGCATTTTCTTTGTAAACTTGCACCCAGATGCTTCAGTCAACTTCTCAGCATTTCTAAGATGTGTTCAGAGAGGTGGAAGACCATGTCTGCTAAAGAAACAGGAAAGTCTGAAGACATGACAAAGGTGGACAGGCCTGCAATGAAAGAGAAATCAAAACTGATATCCCAAGTAAAGGGGAAACAAAAAAAAAAAGAAGCTCAAGAATCCCAAGATACCCAAGAGGCCTCCTTTGGCCTTTTATTTGTTCTGTTCTGAGTGTCACCCAAAAACTAAAGGAGCACATCCTGGCCTACCCATTGGTCGTGGAAAGAAACTGGGAGACGTATGGAACGCACAGCTCAGGTGACAAGTAGCCTTATAAAAAGAAGGAAAAAATTGGAAAGGATGTTGCAGCCTACTGAGCTAAAGGAAAGCCTGAGGCAACCAGAAAAGGGGAGCCATCAAGATTGAACAAAGCAAGAAAAAAGGAAGAGGAGGAAGATCAGGAAATGAGAGGATGGGGAAGGGGAAAAAGATGAAGGTGTTAGGTAAGTTGTCTCCAGAGCAGGTGTTAAGTGTCTATAAAGCACTAAACTTCCAGAGGCCTCCCTGGTGGCACAGTGGGTTGAGCGCCACACTGTGAAGCTCTTTGCAGTCTCTGTAGCGTGGGTTCGATCCTGGCTGGCCGGCGAGAATCCCACATGGCGCAGCAGACCTCTCCTGTCTTGCCCACTGCTCCCCTCAGCAGTGTATTTCGTCACTCTGCCTGTTCTGTTCCCTGCTCTGTCTCTGGTGAATCCTCTCACCCTCCCATGCATCTGGCCTGTACCCCAGTTCTTGTATAAATAAATCTTTAAAAATAAAAGCACTTAACTTCCCTGTACACAATTTACTCCTTTCAAAGAGAAAGTAACTGAAATGTAGGCTGTGTGAGATTTGTTCTTAAACTAGTGTTGTTTTTTGCGTAGTTAACACACCACTGAATATGCGTTTAGACAGCCCCATCCAGGCGGTACTTTCAATAGCCACTAACCTTGCCTGGTACGGGGTGGGGGTGTAAGTGGGTGTGGAAATTCAAAGCAGGTGCTTGCTGGTGCACAGCACAGCTATGTATGGGGGTGGGTATTTTCTCTTCCTCAATGGTCTCTAAGGCAGCTTATATGAATTGTTCAGTGAGCTGAATACCACTCTGTAATTGAAAAAAAAATGTTGCAGCTGTTTTCTTGACAGTTTGAATGCTTCTAAGCCAACACAATTTTTGTTTCATAAAAATAAGAGAGAACTATCCCAAATGTGGTGACAGGAATGGTGAAGAGGCAAGAAAAATTATGTGGAGAAGAGGTGGTGAAGAGAAGTATCTCCACAGAACCTGACAGGCTGAATTAATGTGTGGTTGCAAATAAAGGCAGAAAGATATAAAGATATTATATAGACATAGAGATGTAGAGATTATATATGTTGATTTTATTTATATATATTATTATTATAAATGGAGGAATTTGGGCTTATTTGATAAAATGAAGAGCACTTCTACCAGGAAGCAGATGAAAGCTGGATTTGGATGTATTTGTTTGGCAATGATGTACAATTGGGAATAAGATATGTAGATAAGTCAATAAAGTGACTGCTATAGGGACCAATTATTTCTATAGCTCTTAGGAAAGCAGGAATGCAATGCCAGGAAGAAGCTTTCATGGCAATTCCATGGCATCCCCATACCCAACTTTTGGGCTTCTATTGTCAGGAAAGATCAGAAAGTTCAGGATTTTTTTCATATATACACACACACACATATATTACCAGGGTATATATATCTATGTCAGTCAATATGTGTTAATAAATAAATATATATATATCTTCATATGCATGAACCTGAACTTTATGGAGACAAACATATATATAGAAAGACACATGCATATTGTATAATTACAATTTTCCAGAAAGAAACATTTATCAACACACACACTCACTAATAAAATCTATAATAAAGGAAAAGTACCCTTGAGCATTCTTTCAAGGTACCTTTCTTAAAATCTGTGAGTAAAGAGAAATCCTGTATATCAAATCACATTTTATATGGTCTATTAAAGATATTAATTTATAAAGTAAAATTTTATGTTTTAAAAAATGTGAACTATCACTTCTTAATTTATCTGATTGGTAAATTGGTATTTTTGAGGGGTCTATTTTGTTTTTTGTTAAAATCAACTTGCCCAGGATCATTTCTTGTGACTGCACATGAAGAATACTGTTCTTCAAAACAGATACAAAGTACTTTCATAACTTTGATTGAGGATGATTTCTAAGTAACAATTTTCTAACATTTTAATTATTTTTTAGTTCCTTCTTCATATAAGGTTGGGGGAAAAAACCTTAAGAAATTTTAGTAGAAATCTTAAAAATTTGAAATTTTTACCTTGAAAGATTATCAATTCGGAGTCCATACTTTGTCTCTGTTTCCTTCCGTCCCACCTTAATGCTGAATTCTTTATCCACCAGCAGGACGAAAGCTATAGCACCACTGTCTGGTTTCATATACAGTAAAAAGGAATCTTTCACTATCAACCACCTGTAAGAGGGCAATAAATATTTTTAAAGTTGTACGGAATTATCAAAACAAAATCAACAAATTATTATAAATCTGAAGGAAACACTCTAGCGGACTTTAAAAACAATTCTAGTTTTTATACCAAGGATTCATTTTTTAAAAATAACCATCAAAAAAAAAAATCCCAAACTTATTTCTATTATGTTTTCTTTTTTTAAAAGATTTATTTATTTATGCATACAAAAGCTGGGGTATAGGCCAGAGGTGCGGGGGTGAGAGGATTCACCAGAGAGAGTGGGGAGCAGAACAGGGAGATCTACTGAAATACACTGCTGAGGGGAGCAGTGGGCGAGACAGGAGAGGCCTGCTGTGCCCTATGGGTTGGCTCCCTGGCCAGGGATCGAACTCATGCTGCAGTGGTTGCAGATAGCTTCATAGTGCTGAGACTTAACCCCTTGCGCCACAGGGGAGGTCCCTCTATTATGTTTTCTAAAAAGCACTGATCCTAAGGAATTTCACAGAGGTCTCTAACTCTTAAAACACAAAAGGCAAAGTCTAGCTGAGTGTTCTGACACTGTAGACAGTGTTTACAGGATGGACAGCAAGAGCCCCAGCTGTCAAAAAGAATGGAAGTTGCTAGTATAAACTGTAATGAAAAAAGCAAATAAATCCTCAATAAGTAAAATCTCCCTTTAAAAAAATGCAGTAAGCAACCTTTATTCCACATAGTCTGTTATTCATTTCAACTTAACTTTGTGATTTTAAGGAACATTAATCAATGATGCTCAATTGGACATGATCTCTCAAAAGTACTTCCACTTAATATTTTACACAATATATATTTAAGAGCTTCATAATGGATATGTACAGTGATAAGCGGAGAGTTATGCTAGCAGGAGAAACAGCACAAAGACAAGTCAGACATGTTCTCAAAAAAGCTGATGAGGGGCCTCCCTGGTGGCACAAGGGGTTAAGAAACAATCTTTGAAGCTATCCCACAGCCACTGCAGCCTGAGTTCGATTCCCGGCCGGCCAGGGAGCAACCCACATGGCGCAGCAGGCCTCTCCTGACTCGCCCGCTGCTCCCCTCAGCAGTGTATTTCAGTTTATCTGCCTGTTCTGTTCCCCATTGTCTCTGGTGAATCCTCTCACACACCCCCCCACGCCTCTGGCCTGTACCCCAGTTCTTGTATGCATAAATAAATAAATCTTAAAAAAAAAGAAAATTAAAAAAAAAAAAAGCTGGTGAGGCTTGTAGGTTGAGTACAGACAAGGATAATTCTTGGCCGAATGGGAAAGGTACTAGAAGAGAAATGCAAAATGTTGGGGGTGCAAGGCAAGGAGAACTCTTGGATCTGATGAGCAAGAGACTGAGCTAATGAAATTCTCCAGAAAGGTGGCATCGGAGCAGACCAGGATGGATGCCATCCAGTGGCACCCAAAGGACATGGTCAGGGTGTACATCCTCATAGAGGGAGGAGTGAGCAAAGGTGCTAAGGTGTGAAAAGCTGCATGTGGCAGAGAGAGATCACTGAAGCCAGGGTCTCAAGAAAGTGGAAGGAGAAGTTTGTGAGTATGTAGGGTGGGGAAAATGGACAAAGGCCCCACGGAGGAGAGTCAAAGGATATACTGAGTACACTAATTTTATAGCTTGAAACTGGTGTTTCTGAAAGTTGCCCGATCAGCAGAATCTGTTGAGGTGCTTGTTTAAATAAAAAGAGACATTCATCAGTGGAGGAGGAAGGAGAGGGATCAAAACAGGGGAGGGAAGAGCATAAGACTATAGTGATGGTTCACAGGTGTCTTGGTCTGGCTCTTCCTAGGATTTGCCAAACTTGATCTTCCTTGGCTCTCCACATTTGCTATTCCTTGACCTAGAAATGGTTTCTTCTAGATCTTCTCATGGAATGCTACTTCTTGTCCATCAATCCTCTGCTTAAATGTTCCAGCAGAGAGAGGCCTTTGCTAGCTATTTGATCTAAAAGAGCTGCCTGAATGAGCACATTTACTCCACCATGTTTAGCCTCTTCTTGGCACTTATCACTAACTGGAATTATTTGTCTGCTTGCTTATTTTCTGTCTCTTCCACTAGAAAGTCAGATCCATGAGAGCATGCACACATCCATCGTGCCCACTGGTGTCTGCCCACCAGTGCCTGGAATAACCATGCAGCAGAACAGAGAACGTCTGCAGGCAAAGCAGCCTTCTTTTCTAAATAATGGTTACATGAATGGGCCCCAGGGAGTAAATGAAATAATTTGGATGGGGTTACTGTCAAAATTTTTAACTCTTTGCATAGTTCAGAGTTAAGTAAATGCTAAATTTTATATCTTAAAATCTATACATCTCTTTATCTTAAGATTTTATTTGAGATAAACTTATAGTCCACTGCAAAGTGCAAAGAAGTTGCTCCATAGATGAGCTGTTTACGCAGAGGTTTTAAATTGCAGGAAATGCTTGTAGTTTTCTTTTTTACTTGTCCTTGAGACAAGGTCATGATCAGATTTGATTAAAAGTGTAATTGCCCTGTTTTGCCTTATCTTGATTTGTCAATGCAGAATAAATAAGTGATAAAAATATTCTTTTACAGATACAAAGATGAAAAAGAATTATAAATGATAGTCACCATAAAAATTTACTTCCATTTACACCTCAGTTGCCTTCTCCTATAGGAAACTTTCTAAGTTAAATTTGTCACTCTATTTTATCAACTTTATTTGGTACTGATATTTTCTCTCTCATGAATGTGACTCAGGAAATACTTATTAATATAAAACTAAGACTTCAATTTCTGTGGAAAGATTTATATTTCATTCCAGGAAAGATGATATCTTGTTAGATTGTCTGTGTTGAAGTCTGAATTAATCCTAAGTTTAAAAAGTTAAAAAGGGGCCTCCCTGGTGGCACAAGGGTTTAAGCACCACACTATGAAACAATCTGCAGCCTCTGCAGCACGATTTCGATCCCCCTGCAGTCCAGGGAGCAACCCACATGGCGTAGCAGACCTCTCCTGTCTCACCCGCTACTTCCCTCAGCAGTGTGTTTCAGCCAGTCTGCCTGTTCTGTTTCCCACTCTGTCTCTGGTGAATCCTCTTACCCCCCTCATCTCTGGCCTGTACCCCAGCTCTTATATGTATGAATAATCTTTAAAAAAATTAAAGTTAAAAAGGTATATTTCTTTTATATAATGAAATATCCCCACACCAAACCCCCCACTGTCTTTTCTGGCTGGCCCTTCTCATGTAGGTTATAACTCTAACTTCAGTTCTTGACTGCTAGAGCTAAAGCCACACTCTCCAGTCAAGTCCCTCACTATCCTATGTGCTTCTTTTTTCCTTCAGATCTCTAATCACTTCCTGCATCCACATCATTTACAGTTCTTATCAGCTCTGCATTGCCTGATTTCCTCTTCTAGTGAGCTCCACATTGAAGGGAGTATGTCCTGTCAGAGATTAGGCACTCAAGTGAATGGCCCAGACCATGCCTTCCAGCTGGTGAGCAGAGAGTTGAGATTGGGTTGCCTCAGAAGCCAGCTCTGAGACGAGCATGTAAGTGAAAGTACAACTGGTCCTTGAACAGATTTGAACCATGAAGGTCCACTTATACATAGATTTTCTTTCAACCCTTCCTCTTTTTCCTCCTCCTTCTAAATTTACAGTGAGGAAGACAGGAATAAAGACCTTTATGATAAACCACTTGCAATTTTTAATAACATTTTCTTTTCTGTATTTTATTGCAATACATATAATACATATAACATACAATACATGTACTAATGGACAATTTATATTATCAATGAGGCTGCTGGTCAACAGGAGACTATTAGCAACTAGGTTGTACTTGGAATTTGAACTGTGATGGAAGTTAGTGCCTCTAACTTATGTTGTTCAAGGGTCAATTGTAATTGCTAAAGAAACAGATTAGGGAACTTATTAGGGAGCATAAATAGGGCAGAGCTAGGAGGAAGTCATCTAGGTTCTGCTTTCATGCACTTTATTGTGGAAAACTGGGCTGTGAACTTGCTGTGGGAACTCAGAAGAGGGTATAGTACGTGCTGTGTGACCCATTCTTGGGACAAGGGGCTAGATCCTGCTGGCTTTGGTTGGGGGTTGCTCCTGGAGCTGGGACTACTTTTACCTGCTCTGTGCACAGGCTGGTGGCTTCAGCGGCTCAGAGCAAATCTACAGTGAAAGACTGGCAAAGTCTGTGGGTGGCCTACAGCAGCTGCCTTAAGCAAAGCCAGGACTGGGAGGATGGCTCAGCAGGAAGCTCAGCCAGGGCCCAGTGGGCTGGACAGAGCAGCCTCCTCAAGGGGCATTATGTGGGGCAGGAAGGCAGGGACAGGGCAGGCTGGCTATGTTCCACTCCTCTCCTGGCTTGGCATGTGTTCTGAGTATTTCCCAGGATTCTGTACAATACCTCATATGGCATCTCTGATTTTTCTGCAATGCCATTTATACTCTGAGTTTATGGGTATATTTATATAAGCTACAGAATTTTATTTGAAATCAAATAATCTCAGCACATTGTATCTCTTTTTGTATTAGTGAAATTGATGTTTCATTACACCAAAAAAATCTCAATTTTCCCTAGTCTAATCTCTTGACCTTTTCCTTGCTCATAATTTATTTGATCCCTTTAAGACCCAGAAAATAAGAGTTTAACTTAATCATATTTTTTTATTGGTATGCTGTATCTTAGATATGTTTAAAAGCATATCTTAATTTTAATTTATACATTTTTAATCAACACATAGTTCAATTTCATATTTATATGTCAGTTCACATGTCTTTTTCAAGGTTGGGGAGATATTTCTTAAAATTTTTTTTCTAATTCCAGTAAATTATTACTGCAACAAATATCCATTGTCTATTATGTTCAAAACATTGTGGTAAGTGTTTTGAGGGCATAAATAAGAGTCCGTGAGAATACTGTTGCACAAGGGGTTCTCAGTTACGTAGGACATGGAATAGGAATTAAACCTCTCTGACTATACACACTTACCATAGTATATATAATATATACACTCACAAATATAGCTCTAAAATTACCACCCCTAAAGTCTGATCAAGTTTTTTAAAGTTTATTTTTAAAGTATACAGTATATTCACAAAGTTTTGCTTGATCACCACTAATTTCAGAATATTTTCTAATTTCAGAGTATTTTTATTTGCATAAGAAGAAACTCTATACCTAGTTATAGTAACAGCCCATTTTCCCTTGCCCTCAGTCCCTGGAAACTACTAATCTACTCTGTCTCTATAGAGTCTTTATTCTGGACATTTCATATGAATGGAATCATATATGTGGCATTTTGTGTCTTTTTTTTTTTTAATTTGGCATAAAGTTCTAAAGGTTCATTCATAACAGCATATACCAGTACTTCATTCTTATGTTTTTATAAAATTTCAATTTTTAAATTCAGATATGACTTGCATGCCATAAAACTCCCCCTTTAAAAGCATGTAATTCAATGGTTTTTAATATATTCATAAAACTGTGCAACTATCACAATATTCCCAATATTTCATCAACCCAGAATGAAACCCCATACCCATTAACAGTCTTCATTCCTTTTTTTTTATTTTTTTGCATATAAGAACTGGGGTACAGGCCAGATGTGCTAGGGGTGAGAGGATTCATGAGAGACAGAGTGGGGAGCAGAACAGGCAGAATGACTGAAATACACTGCTGAGAGGAGCAGAGGGCGAGACAGGACAGGTCTGCTGTGCCATGTGGGCTGTGGATCAAACTTGTGCTGTGGTGGCTGCCAATATAGCTTCATAGTGCTGAAACTTAACCCCTTGCACCACCATAAAAGCACTTCCTTCCTTTTAATGGCCAAATAATATACTACATTTTGTTTAACCACATAGCATTTGATGGGTCTTTTGGCTGTCTGATTTATTAGTCATTCTGAATACTGCTGTCATGAACACTCATGTATAAGTTTTGATATAGACAATTTTTTTTTCCAGTTTTCTTGAGTAAATACCAGGAAATTGAATTGCTGAGCATAGAGTAACACTACATTTAACATTTGAGGAACTGTCACACTGCTTTCTTAAGCGGTTGAACCAGTTTCCACCAACAGTGTAAGAGGGCTACAATTTCTTTAAATCCTTGTCAACACTTGTTAGTGTCCATCCTTTTTACTGCAGTCATCCTAGTGGGTGTGAAGATGAATCTAATTGTGGTTTTGATTTGCATTCCTCTAATAACAAATTATGTAGCGTATATTTACTTGCACTTATTGGCCACATGTGTAAGTTCTTTGGCTGACCAAGTTTTGAATCCCAACACCCACTGGGTTTTACATATATAATCTAATCTGCACACATTGCCTATAAGTCCAAGTTTGAACAGAATGTTTAAATGGATGCTGAAATGTGGAAGTTTAAATAAATTAGTATTTTCTCTGGTATGACTTTCAAAGGATTTCTATATGATATATAACTTAAACTAATATGTGAAAATTTCCCAATATTCAGTTTCTTAGAACAAACATACAAAATTCTTAAGTCCCACCTTTTTGACCACCGGTAGCAGGCTCTTCCGTGACCACAGCAATTCAAACCAGGTATTCTGTGTCCTCCAGATCTTTTCATTATCATACCTTCTCTGAAAGAGACGTCAAGTTAACCCATCATCTTCAAATCTCCTGTTCATACTGAGCAGATACAGTCTCTCATCTTGCGACTAAATACAGACTTTCATTCTTATGTGACTTTCCTCTCCATTCTTTCCTCCTTCACCCTCAATGCCACTAGCTAGCCTAGTTACTCTGCAGCTAATCTTTAAATGTACCATGGTCAGACGGTGGCTTGCTAGCATTGTTCTGTTGGGCACCCTGCAGGAATTAAGACTTCCTGGTTTCTGGCTCCCAATACTGAGTGTGCCTTCCAGTCATTGTGGCCATCTGAAAAAATCTATGCACACTGCCAAATGCCTACACAGGGCTGGTTCAGCTGCAGTCAAGACCAATGAAAAGGTCCACCACAGATTCCAGGGCATCTCTACTTCATTTGACCCACAGTTCTCAGGTCAAGTCATGCCCAAGGAAATAAAGTAAAGCTTATAGCTTTAAAAACAGAACTATCCTGAACTTGAAACATATGAAAAGAAAGAACAATAGTAACTGCTAAATTGTAGAAAGAATGTAAAACTGTAGGGCCTCCCCGGTGGCGCAGCGGTTGAGAGCTGGGTTGCGAAGCTGCCCGCAGCCTCTGCGGCGCCGGTTCGATCCCCGGCTGCTCCCCGGCCACCGGAGGAGGGTCCCACATGGCGGGCAGACCTCTCCTGCCGCCCGCTGCTCCCCTCAGCAGTGTACTTCGGTCCTTCTGCCTGCTCTGCTCCCTGCTCTGGCTCTGGTGAATTCTCTCACCCTCCCGGGCTTCTGACTGTACCCAGTGCATGTATAAACAAAAACAAACAAACAAACAAATAAATAAATAAATAAACAAACATGCCTCTAAAAAAAAAAAAAAGAATGTAAAACTGTAAACAATGCTTTTACAAAAGAAGTTCAGTTCTTGTAATGTCGAGTTCTCATATAATTAAGGAAAATCAGTAAATTTTAATGTTGTTATATAAGATTTTACATAGTATTATTTTTAGTCATGAAAATGAGTGATAAACAGATATCTTTTAAAAGGGATTAGAGGAAGAGATTTTGTATATTTGATTTTTAATGCATTTTCCAACACATATATATGCTACCCATAAAACACTGCTACTTTCGGATAAAAGGAAAGCTGTGCTTTAAAAACATGAGAAAGAGGATGGAGCAGCTGCCCTTGTTTAATGTAGCAAGACACTTTGTTTTGTGTAAATAGATCCCCTCAGTTACTCTGACTTTTGGGAGCCAAGCAGCTCACAGTAAAGCCAGGCAAACTCTCTCATCACAGAAAGCAGATAAAACACATGTTAATGCATTTTTAGCAGTTTGAGGAACCTCCACACAGCTTTCCATAGTGGTTGGACCAATCTGCATTTAGAAACAACCCAAATGCCTCCAAATAGGTGACTGGATCAAGAAGATGTAGTATATATACACAATGGAATATTACTCAGCAATCAAAAAAGATAATCATGGCATTTGCAGAAACATGGATGGAGCTAGAAGGGATCATGCTCAGTGAAACAAACCAGAGAGAAAAATAAAAATACCAGATGGTTTCACTTATAGGAGGAATGTAGGGGATCCAAATAAGGGATTTGGAAAAAAAAAGTAATTACAATAAAGTAAAATGTCAAAATCAACAGGCAACTATAAACCAGAGACATTCTGCAGGCAGGGGCGGGGGTAGGATGGAGTAGGATCAAAATAGGGGTGGGAAGAGCACAAGGGACTATGGTGATGGTTCATGGGTGAATTGGTGGTGGGAATTTCACAGGGCCTATAACCAAGATGAGAAAGCATACATTATAGAAAAATGAAGAATGATGAAAAAATATACAAAATAAAAATAATGTTAATGCACATCAACTTTTTACACTTCTTGTTAAAGATTCAACACTGGAACTTACAGGCCCTTTGGTCCCAAATCATGGATGAATGACAGCTGGCTTATATCAAGAAATTCTGTCTGAAAAAAAGGTCAAAAATCCATACTTTAGAAAGTTAAGAAGAGAAAAATTTATGCATTCAAAACACAGATATGTCTGGGGTACTTTACACACTGCACAAATCAATAACCACAGAATTGCTCTGGAAGAGTACAGGCTAGAAGTCTGTATGTAATTAAAATATAGACAAGAAAGTGACTCATGTTCAAGATGTTTAGACAAAATGCTCAAGAAAGCCAGAGAAAGAGATTTACTTCTAACATTCTTGTATATTTATTTTTGTTGTTTAGAAAGAGGGATTGTGTGGCACATTGTAACACAATTAAAAGATAGTGTGAAGGGAATGATGTTGATGCCAAGTTGTAGACGATGGGCTGGATGCAGGTAATGGAAAACAGAGAGGCAGAGAGAAATGGAGCGGAGATGGTGTAAGAAGGTCACAGGCTGTACAGAGGCTGCAGTAAGTGAGAGGAAGGAGGGTAATGGAAAATTAGGCGCAAAGCAGGTTCAGGTGAAATTGGGGATATCTTCAAACATCAGGAATACAGAGAATTCTAATAATTACATAAGTTAAATAATACATTATGATAGACACTTCTATTTTTAGCAAATAGAAAAATATTATATACAGTAAACCCACCTTGGTGTCTAAATTATAATCAGATTAAAAGCTATAAGCATTATAATAACATCAATGGCTAACATTTATTATCTGCTGATCCTAAACAAAGCATTTTTCATAATTATCTCAAACCTCTCTCTAAGATAGGTACAATTTTTCCCCTTGTACCAAAAAGGAAACTTAGGTTTACAAGGGTAGGTAAACTCTCTCAGAGAGTCAGACAGTAAATATTTTAGGCTTTATGAGCCCTACAAACTACTGAACACAAAAGCAGTCAGAGATGACACATAAATGAATAAGCATGGTTATAGAGCATAAAACCTTATGAATAGTAAAACGTAAATTTGATTTTATGTGCAATAAAATTTTTTCTTTCTATATTTTTTCTACCATTTAAAAATGTATTGAGTATTCTTAGCTCACAGGTCATACAAAAACAGGCAGTGGGCTGATTTTGGTTCATAAGCCATAGTTTGCCAACACCTGGTTTAGAGAAATGAAGTAAATTATCCAAGACCACATAATTAGCAAGGGGTAGAGTTAACATCAGCTTAGACCAGTCAGTATCCTTAAAACTAAGTTGCAAAAGCAAAAAGTCATCTGACATTTATTTTACTTAAATTGACCAACTTGTTCTAGTCAGTTAAGCACTAAATTCATATATGGAGGCATAGAAAGAAAAACAAATCAAAATTCTGTAGTTCTTAGCATACACAGAAGATTTACCTCATAAAATCTTTGGAACAACTAGCATTGGACATTATTTGCTTCCAATTTACAAAACTGTCTTTAAAAGTAGCCACGGTCGCTGGAAGGGATCATGCTCAGCGAAATAAGCCAAAAAGAAAAAGAAAAATACCGGATGGTCTCACTCATAGCAGGAATCTAGAAAACTTAAATAAGGGACCAGGAAAATGAATAACTATAAGAAAGTGAAAATCAGAATCAACAAAAACTATGAAACAGAAACACTTTTGGGGGGTGGGGGGCGGGAGGGGAGGGATTGGGATCAGAAAGGGGGGGTTGCAACTGTATGGGGAATATAAAAATAAAATTTATTATTAAAAAAAAATAATAAAAAATAAATAAAAGTAGCCACGGTAAGCCCAAATCTGCCAGTGATCACAGACCATGTGAATAACCTTAATAGAAAATCAAAGACAAAAAGAAATGTTCTTGGCATTTCAGAAAGCAGCAAGGAGACCAGACACGGAAATCACTCCACATCTACAAAGTTCTGTGGGAAGAAATATAACATTGCATGTGAGTGTAGGGACAGAGGAACAGAGGAGGGTGACTATTTCCTAGCTAACATGACATCACAGAGGGAGGGCTACTGGGCTTTTAAATGGTACAAGTAAAATGAAGGTTGTGTAGTTATGGTTGGCAATACAATATTATTAACATCATAATAATTAACCTATCAACTATTGCAAGAAAAAATTACAAACTTCTAAGAGTTGTCAGTCCTTATGAGGACCAATTAAACGAGTACATTACTTTCTTAGGGTTATTTGAGGAACTCTTTAAAATTCAAAAGGAGTTTAACACTCTTAATCAAATATCTCCTCACATAGTATTTTTTAATAAGGATTTTAAAAGTCAAGGTCTTTATATTTCTTGTATAAAATATGGTGATTCAGTAGCAATCATTTTTAGATCTGATTTGTAGAAAAGCTTTCTCACTGGAAAATGTAGTCATAGATAGGTTATCAGAAGTAACTGCAAATTTTGAGCATTCAGATCCAAAATGTTTTAAAATCCTAAGCCATAACTTCTCATTTTATCTCTAGAGGGGAACAGAGAGAAAAAATTAATACTGGTTTACTTTGGAAGAAACTATTATAGAGAAGTGATTATTTTATGAAAATTCACAAAGTAGTTGATGGAACTAATAAGAAATAAAAAGCAAAAGTCAGAGCCTCCCTGGTGGTCTAGGGGTTAGTCTCAGTGGTGTCACCTACATGGCCTGAGTTCTATCCCTGGCCAAGTTGCTAACCCACATGGCCCGGCAGACCTCTACTGTCTTGCCCACTGCTCCCCTCAGCAGTGTATTTCAGTAGATCTGCCTGTTCTGCTCCCCGTTCTGTCTCTGGTGAATCCTCTCACTGCCCCCTCCACAACTCTGGCCTACACCTCAGTTCTTCTGAAGTGGAAATTATCAGGCTGACCTGTAAATTAGCTGAAGTTATGTTGAGATAAAGCCTCAATGTAGACTGAAAGTTCCAGGGAGTAAATGATAAACATTCTCAAGTACACACACCTGAATTACACCCATTTAACAGACTAGGAATCTCCTGCTCCTGTACTCCCTGCATGCTCCAAAGTGTATATGTAACCCTGCTGAGGCAATAAATACTGTTACCTAATTGCTGGTGGTTCACTTTGGAGAAATATCTCCTCTAGGCCTGCCAGAGTAAATAAGGCTCTTCCCTCCCCCCTCTGAGTGCAACCTGGTTCAATAATGGAATTTTGCCATAACAGGTCTACACAAAAATTAAGAAGAAAAAAGAAAAAAAAAGAAAAAGTCAAGGAAACCACCTATCTAATCTCTGTATATTATTTTACTCACATAGCTCTCTTATTATCAAATAGTTGATGACAGAAATACTCTCTGAAATTATTCAGAAATCAAAACTTAGGAAAATTTTAAAAATCATTCCATGTAAACATTTTTATCTAAATTAAAGAGTTTATGTTAGCAATGAAAAACATTTAAATTTGCGTGTAATGTGATGTTTATAAATTTAACCTCACAGTTTAATAAAGTTTAACTAAAAAGAAACTGAAATAACTATCTCTATTAAACAGAAAGAATAATATTATTATTATCTCTGACAATAAATGTTCTACAGATTTAGCAGATTGTGGTAAGGTCAATTTAAAAGGAAACCTAAATAATACAATTTGAAATTTAACAAAGATCGTGCTTTCCAAACTTCTCAGTGCTGGCATTGTCAGTGAAAAGAATTCCATTCTCCCTTTGGTGATTCTCAGAAATAAGAATTTAATCATCAATTTAGTTGGAAAATATTCTATAAGGCTTATTGATCTCTTGGACAATGTACTAATCAATCTCTACCCCCCAAAGGAACTTGTAAAAAGTCAAATATTATGGAAATAGGGAAGTAAAGGGTTTCCATGACAAGGGACAAGAAATAAACTCTAAGGTTAACAACAATCCTGTTAATTAATTCACAAGCAGCTTTACCTCACTTTTGAATTAGAAAGGGAGGGGCTCAAAGGTCCCCTTAACTCTTGGGTGGACGGGGCCCCAAAACCCAAGCTAGGGACCAAGTAGGGCATTCTCAGAAGCAAGATAGCCCATAGTGTTCACAAATTGGGTAGTGCCTGGTGCTGAGGGGGAGAAGCAGGCTCAGGTGCTCCAGGAAAGGTTGCTTCTGGGTAAAGTGGTTACAGAGCTCCCAAGAAAAGAGACAATTTCTATCTCATCTGTGGAGGTAACAGGTCTGCCCAAGGCCTAACAACCCTCCCAAAACTGACTCAATCACAAGAATGACAATATTTCCCTTAATTTGCAATGCACCTATTAAATAAGTGCGGCTTTTCTCTGCTGGCATGGAAACATGGTGAGCATCTTTATGAATCTTTACCCATTCTTTCCCTCTAGCTAAACGTAGTCATCCTACTAAACAAGGAAGAGAACTCAGTATTTTTGATCTGTGGGATATTTACCCTCAGATTCCTTATCTTCAGAATGGTGATTAGCTTGAAATAACCCCCTTAGAAGTGAGGAGCCTGGGTTACAAGAGTCAGATGTTTATTTGAAGTTAGCTATATCACCCTATCAGCTTAGGGCCCTTCTCTTGGAAATTATGCATTTTGTTCCATTGCTAAATTTTTAATCTTTAGTCAGAAAAGAGCTACATTAACTGTTTCTAATGATTCCTCCTTTAAGTTCCTGAAGATAAGTATTTTTCATCACTAATTAAAATGCCCAGCACAGAGCACAAAGGGAACCCTGTCCAGATTTTATATACTATTGTATAATTGAGTAATATTTTTTTACATACTGATGCCTTGAGGAGAAGCCAAATACATTTATCTCCATATTACAAGTGAGTCAAGAAACAGAATGAATGATTAATAATCTTTGAGGGGAATGTCCGATGCTGAATCCACTAAAACTATAGACTGCTTTGTTCTCCAGAACCTCAAACAGGGGAAAAAAAAAAAAAAAGCAATTCTTCATAAACCTGGAAGAAATGGTTGTTTTCTAAATAGTTGCCCAACCACTGACCATATGAAAATAAGAAAAATGAGTTGTCCATATCTAAGTTTCACTGAAATTTTATTAAAATTAGGAGCATGGTCCTCTCTGAACCCCTGAGCTATGAACTATGATGCTATTAGCTTTGGGACACAAATATACATATAATATACATATTTTACACTTATAAAAATGTGTGATTATACAGACTATACTACTGAGCATATGTGATTATATAAAAATGACTCAACATGCAGATAGCTTTAATATTTCTCAAAATTATGAAAGGAGATACATAGATTCTAACCTAATTTCACAAATATGAGGCAGAAGCCCGCAAAAATAGTCTATAGGTCAGATTCATCTAGTAGGAAAGGAAGACAGAGTTAGAGAATTAACATAGACAAAAATGGTGTCCTATGCTCGTGTCATTTTGGAGAATTCTCCTGTTTGACAGAATAATTAGGAGTAACGTACATAGTCAGTTATGACAGTTTTTCCTTCCCAAAAGAAATGCTTAGAAGGCATCCTGGAGTTTCTAAATATAATATGGCTCAAGTTGGGAAATGTTTTTATGATTGGAAAAGAAATTAAAATGAACATTTAAAGAAAGTAAACATTCTTTCATCCACAGGAGAATCCAAAATACAATAATATATATACATAGAAAGAGAAGATTGAACTCAGGAAGTACTGCTTTAAAGCCAAAAGCAATAGTATAAATGAAGTCACTGGCAGGAAGAAAAGTAAAAGAAATGGAAAATTATTTCATACCAGTATGAGTACACATTTAAATAATTCTTTATTAAAGAAAAAAAAACAATAACTTCAGAGAACACAATGGGTGGCAATATTTTTAGTAATAATAGCAGTAATATACTAATTCATTACATTTTTCAAAATACACATTCATGAGTCTTAGAAGGGACAAAATTCCTTCATGAACCTTTTTCTGAGATTTCCCATCTTGGATCCAAATTGCTGCCATCCCTGAGATAATATCCTCTCCAGGAACTAGGAAGCCACAGAAGCTCCTTAAGTACAATGAACATCACAGTGCAAGCTATGGAAGGTGGACAGTCAACCTGCCTCAGGTCAATGTGTATAGAGGGGACCAGGTGGAAGCATCCCTAGCCTCCAAATAACGTGTGAGAGCTGCAAGTCTCCAAACCTCCTAAAGAACCCAAGTGCTCTTACTTCCTCCAGTAAATACATAGAGGGCTTGCCATTTTCTGTGATGTGAGGCCACTCTCTAAACAAGTGGCTAAATCACAATTGCATCTACTCTTAAATTCTTCATATACACATAATCATGCATTCAACCCCACAACAATGCACTTTATATATACACAGGTACAAAATACAATTATCCAGTGCAGTCTCCATTGCCTGAACCTTTGGATAATGGGGAGCCCCCTTCTAAGGGCCTATGAAAGGGTAGAGCTCATGGTGTTCTGACACCGTCTATAAAGCCCACTCTTTCCTGTGTGCCTCCAAGTTGCTTCTAAGATCCTACACCTCTTCTATATTATTTGATTTCCTAAAGTGTTTTTTCTCTCCTTAGTTTTTCCCATGCTTCTTGCTTTCACATGAAAAGACAGGCTTTTTATAGGGCTTCACAAGCCAATTATATGGCAATCTCACTGTGTTCATTATAATCTTTGGGTATTCAATGCTATTCAACTGTTTGCATCCACTTACTACTCAATATTTTTTCTTTGGGATTATAAATGTTTTTTGGCTCTGGAACTCTGAGGAGAGAAGGTTGATTTCTAGATAACCTATGCTATAGTAGCATTTCAAGTTCATTTAACTATTATTATAGACAGCAAGTTATGTTTGATGACCATAAATTTGATCTTTTCTGTCAATCAATTTTGTACTCTTTCATCTATTTTAAACTCAAGGAATAAACAAAAGTGTATACAGCATTTGTGTTAATAAAATGATCTAAAATGCAGCTGACAATTCACTATTCTATAAATTACTTCAAAATTTAAGTCACTGAATGGTACTTACTGTTGCATGATAATTTTTATACATAGGCATTTTCAGTAATTTTGTCAAGTAGTCTTCTAGTTGTTTCTGTAATACAAATATTTCAGATAAGAAAACATTATATTTACAGAAAATGTAAGCAAGAACAATGATATGATCATTGTAACATCTTAACTTCTGTATGTTATCCAAAGATTTATTAACATTGTCACTAAACAGGAATTCTGAATAGCATTAAGCATTATTTCCATACCTCTCCTGAGACGTTATTTAAGTCTCTTCTTGGGTATGCATCTACACCTCTAAATCATGCACAATGTTGTAAACCAATGTTTACTCAATCAAAAACAATGTAATTTTTAAAAATGCAACTCTACAATCAAAAACATACATGCACATCTCTTCTTCTTACTGAAATTCTCACATGCTTAGGTCTTTTACAAACTGCTGACAAGACTCAAGCTGTATATATTTTTTATTTTCCCTAACTACTAACACAGGCTTTGCTATATTGGGTGGTCTTCAAGCATTTGTTGTTTTTATTAAAACCTAAATTTCCTCAGTTCTGTAACTGAATTTATTGGAAGATATACTACAATTTTTACACAGATTTTCCAGGGGGAAAAAAGAGGACATCTAAAAGATATTTTTTCTAGCGAACTGTAACCTCCTTTTACATATGCTCAATGTTTGTGGGGGATGTCAATTACATGGACTCTGGTATACACTGAGCACTAACTGTTAAAGCCAAAGTTCAACATTTTCAGCTGGACTCAATATGCGTATACAGTAATCCAAAACTGGAATATTATATGCCTAGATATCTTGGAACATATTTTTTCCAGACTCCTAAAGAGAGTTTAAGCAAGATGACAGCTAAAAAGGAGAAATAAAATGCCCATTCCAGGACGTAAAAGTCTCAGTTATAAAATAGAACTGAATTAGTAAAAAATAATAATAATCCCCCACTGTCTACAGTACTGTGTCATGGTAGCTGAGTGGACTGGGTCCCCTGGCTGGGATTTCTGTCCTGTTGTACCTGTTTGATCTCTGCCCCACACTTCTCAGATCCTAAATGCCCCATCCAGAGTCTGGGAATGAGATTTTACATGTATTTACAGCAAGCTACTACAAATACTGAAGCAAACATGGAAATACATGATTTTAAGAGTAGATCTCAAAACCCTCAAAGATGAGCTCAAACTTGCTCACAATGAGCCCCACGAGGTCCCTGCAGGGAGAGCAGCTTCATCATATCAAAGAACATTCTTCCTCTTCCTGGGAACCAGACAGAGGTCTTATGTAACCTCCAGGGTCAGAGTGGCTTGGGGAGAAAGGGTGTGAACAGTTCCAAAGAAGCTAAAGCAGCCTGGGTTTAGACCAATGGGTCAGAGACATTGCAGCCAGGCTTGTCTTACCCATCAGTAGTTGCCACGTTTCTACAAAATTAAGTTCAAAACAACAGAGCAGTGAAAGAACTTACCCTTTTACTATGGAACGGTTCCTCTCTGTCCTTGTTTTCAGATGAACGGGGCAAACTTGGCATATCTCGAGGCTCCTCCCCTTTGACATTTTGTCTTCTAAATGTGTGTCTGAAACACACACATGGGCACGCACGAACATGCACACACAAACACAACGCAACAACTATTAGATTGGTTTTGGAGCCATGACTCACAGTGTCTTACCTGAGACAGCTAATTTTAAAAGAGCGCATTTAATTGAAAAATATCCATATTTTCAATGTAAGGTATCCCAGAAGGACTAGATAACCCATAATATAAATGAAATACTCCTTCCACCCCACTTACATACTGGGATAACTTTATAATTAATTCAGAAAGAGTTACCTTTTGGTGGGAATGGGGATTCGGATGAAGGCTTTGTATCTGAGAAGTTCTCTGTGAAATTCTTCAAAGTGCTTGTATTTCCTCTTCACTTGCCATTTAAATTCCCCATGTGTTAATTCAATAGTGTAAAATTTGATATTTGGATCCTATGGCGATAAATTAAAAATGGCCGGTATTTTATATAACAACTAAAATTTCAAAATCTCTTATAAACAAAAGCTTATTAATAAGTAAACAGTAATACCTTTAATCCAATCTACATATTTTGGGTAAGTACTTAAGCAAATTTTTTCCAAAACAACTGATTGCAGAAATAATATTCTGTTAAACGTTCACCTTAAAATACATAGAAGGTAAACTCTGAATCACACCAAAGACAAATGCCTACAAATCCTATTGCTCCAAATACATACACACAACACACTTAGAGGCAGAAATCAGGTAAAGGAGACAGAGTGATTAATTAGCCATGAGGGATTTGTCCAAAAGTATGAGGAGTGAACAGAAAAATGGAAAAAGTAGCATCTGCCCTTCACAAATGACAAAAATGCCAACTCCTCCTGACATGCATTCCTAGGACCAAGCTTGTCTCCAACATCTCCCTGCCCTGAGGCACCATCAGCGACCGGGAAGATACAGGATGATTAGAAGGAAAAGAGCAAAACTACCTACAAAATTTTTTCCAGAAAACTTAACCAAAATCAATCTCCATTTTAGAAATTTTAAACGCTCCTTATTAAAATATAACTTTATCTTAGAGACTAGGAAATTCTTTCAATCAAAATTGCTAATAGATCCAATAGGAGTTTTGCTGCAGTAAAAGCTATCCGAAGGCAGAGAATGCCTACAAAGCACAGGAGGTCTTGAAAGAAGCTCTGTAGGAGGGGTGGGGAGTGGGGAGAGATGGGGGCTAGTCAACACTCTGAACTACCTACTATTCACTGGCCCCTGCAGGGAGATTTCAACACCATGGGTGTGGGGGTGGGGTGGTAGGAGAGTGAACATGTCTCCTGTTCTGCTGGTTCATTCCGGTTCTGGTATCAGCAACATCTGGGTGATTCATGGCCGGCTGCCATTCATTACTGATGTTTGACATTTTGCTCATTTCTAAAGTAAGACCACTCTATGTAGATGTAGCACATAAAAACATCAGCATGACAGTCAATGCAAGTTGTGCTCATAAATCTGAAATCCAATGATCACTGGCAAATATTCAAATCTAGCCCTTGCTTTGCCTTTAGTTAGGATCTATAAGAGTTACTTCAACGAGAAATTGAAGGAACCCAGTTCTGGATCTCAATATTATTTGCTGCTGTCTTTCACCTTGGACAACATTATAGCACCATCTTGTTTCTTGGAAAAGGATGCAGCAAAACAGAGTGATCACAAACTGCATTAAAGTGAATGATGCTCAATTTAAAATGAGTTAAATAAACAAGAAAATTTATACAAGTTAGGCAAGCCACCACATTTCCTAGGATTTTATTTCTCAATCTAAGGAAACTGAAGCTTTACAAAATACTGCAAATGGCAAGTTTTATCCCTCACACATAAACCTGGAAATCTGACACTACACTTAGCAATTGTGAGACTGTATGGTACAAAGAGAACAGCTGTCACATCTTTTTGAAGGGTTAAATTCCTGCAGTGCAGAATGCCAGCTGTGAAGCCTCAGTCAAGTGTCACATCTATCAAAAAACCTCCCAGCAGAACTATTGGGATTCTTTTGAATTGGAATACTTTGAGGGGTTTTAATAAATGGATACCCTGGGAGGGTGTGACAGGAATAAGGATATCACAAAAAAAGGACAGAAACCTGGGGCTCATGAAAGCATCCCTAGACTTGAAACGATTCTAGCTTCCTAGAATCGGGAAGGAGGGAGTGATGGGAATAAGGCTGTCTTGGAGTACAGGTGCCTTTGAATGATGGACATAGCAAATCCAGGGTTACCCAAATATCCTGTCTTGCTTCTTCATTTTCTGAGTCCTTCCCTTGGACAAAGACAGGAAGCTTGGAGGGACAAGGAGCAGGGTGGAGAGGGTGGAGGGAAGGCTAGAGGGGCAAGCAGAAGAGCTCCAGCCAGGAAAGGCAGGTAGTACCATCTGTCATGAGACTAGAAAGACAGTGCCCAGCTTTGAGTTGGCATGTAAATGTATTCAGGAATTAGAAAATGTGTTGTTTGGAATCACATTCACACTGCACAAATTTAGTTTGTATGTCTGAGTAAACTAAACACTAAGTAGAATAAGAATGATTCTTCGGTTTCTCATATAGTCTAAGATTTAAAACACAACTAAACCAAACTCACTTGACTAACAGGAGAATATGAGCAAAGACAGTGTGGTAGTTGGCTTGAATATTTATCTTCAATTTAAGAGATACCTTATAATACTAATCCATGGTATTATACAATGTATCCTTGGAGAGTATGAGATATAATCTATGTATATAACACTACTAGTGTTATTAAATTCTCATAAATACACAAGGTTGGCACTGGTATATCCATTATTCAGTTGAGGGCACTGGGAAACAGAGAAGTGAAGTAACTTGCAGGAGATTATGAAGCAAAGGCAGGAATTAAATCATGTGGCCTGCCCTGGAGTCTGTGCAGTTAACCCCAACCCCCTACCCTCATTGTTACAGCCTCTCATTTTAAAAGCTGGTAGGCAAAATTGGAAGGCAAAGGTCATCTCTTTGCAGACATTCCTAGGTGATCTGTGCTCTGTGGTGTATCAGGAGACATGAACCATGGAAGTAATCATACTTCCTACTCAAACAAAGAACCTGAATGAAAAGTGGACACCAAGGTCGGTCAGGACAGGGCATAGGCAAAACCATCAGGACTGAGGCAGCGCATACCAGCCTCCACCAAACAGGAAGAAGGGGAGGCAAGCCTGCCCAGCAGAAAGGCTCCTTCACATTCACTCTGAGACTGTGGCCAGGAATTAATGTGAAGGCACAAAGGCCAGCTTCTATAGCAATGCCCCCTACCGTCAGACTTGACCAGTGTGAACCCAGGCAGTAACAGCGCACACCCAGCTACCTTAATGGCTTCTCCTACTCCAATCCATTTCAAAGAGAGGCACTTTGCTTGATAAAGACAAATATATATGTATATATATATATATATATATATATATATATATTTTAAATATCACTTCATTTTTCTACAGTATATGCTTATATGCTCTTTCCTTTTAGGTGTATTGATAAAGTTGGACATTTAACTCCCAAAGTCTTTCCAGTGCTTGATGAAAAAATGAATGGGGCAGAAAAAGCAGGGTAGTAGGAACAAAGCAGAGGGACAGAGGATGCCAGTGGAATTCTCTCAGCACTGCTTTGGGTTATGGCACTAGCCAAACCAGCTCCTTTTATGTCTGTCTGTCTGTCTGTCTGTCTCTATTTGTCTATCTATCTATCTATCTATCTATCTATCTATCTATCTATCTATCTATCTATCTATCACCAGAGAGCAGCATCATTTTTTTTTTGCTAAACCAGCATTAGGAAAGCTAAACTATTCCTTGACCTATAGCCAGGATTCAGTGGCGTTTGATGGAAAAATGACTTTACTCCAAGAATCCAAATTCAACAAAAAATTTGGGAGAGAGTAAGACTAGGAGTGGTACTCTGCAATATATAAACTAACCTTGTAAACTGCTCCAGATTATACATTTTGAAAAAATAACATTAAAAAAAATGACCATTGGTGTTTACTTAGATCTTTAAATACTGAGAGATGAGGAGGATGTAGAAATGATTACAGAAAACTAAAAACACAGTAATAGTTAATAGGAATTAAATGGAAGTTAATATATTAATTCACATTTATTGCCAAATACAAGCTGAGTCCATCCATAAACACTCTGACCTTTCCTGCAGATGTAAAGCGCTCCACTTCCAGAACTTGAGCTTTTATTGGACAGCCGGAGAGGTATGTCTGTATGTTAGGTTCCTTAAATCCTTGAGTCTCATAAATAGCAGAGAATGGGATATTCACTAAGAAATAAATAGGTAAAGTGATTACAAGAATGCATGATATTAGCATAACTTGCCTTTCATGGGCATCTTTTTTTAAAGAAATAGAATATTAAAAAAATTTAAAAAATAATAAAAAATAAAATAAATAAAATAAAATAAAACAGCTAGCGCTTCAGCCCAGTGTTATGACACCTGTAGGAAAGAGCAGTCCTTTCCTAGACATTTCAAATGTGTGCTCTCCACAATCTCTTCTCCTGGCTTAGCTCATCAGTCCTTACCTTCCTGTGTCTTGGGATCACCTGGAGACACATCGAACTCCACCTCTTCTCCCTCAAAGTGGAGCTCTCTCGTGTCCAGATTTTCTATCAAATTACTCATGTCAGCAGCGATTTTCCTCAGTGCAGACGTGTTCACCTTTGATTCATTTTTCAGTGACATGTTGGCTTCGGACACGGTAAGAGCAGAGGGGCTGGGAAAGAAGAAAAGAATTAGGAAAATGCTGTTTTGGTCAACTAGAACCCAATTTAGAGTACAGTTTGAATCCAGGCTTAGGAACCACACAAAAAGCAAGTCAGCTGACTCTGTGAGCTCCTTATCTCAATCTTCTAATTGATTTTCCTGTTGAACATTTAAGGGATTCCTAGCTTATAAATTAATTTAGAGTGTGGTCCTTAATGTAAACAAGAAAGAAAAAAGAAACAGCCCACCGATTAAGTGCCAACATATCTCTCAGGCAATTTTATGAACTTGGATAAATGAGGGAGTTGTTTAAGCTGCATTGTTTTGGGAATAGACATTTAAAGAAGAGTTGATTTCTATTCAAATATATACATGGAAAGAAGGAAGATCACATCAAATAAGCAAATATAAGCATTTTCTAATGAAAATTTAGGACATTTTATAATAATTTCAATATACTTTTTTATTTATTTATACAAGCACTGGGTACAGTTAGAAGTACGGGAGGGTGAGAGAATTCACCAGAGCCAGAGTGGGGAACAGAATAGGGAGACTGATGAAATACACTGCTGAGGGGAGCAGCGGGTGGCAAGAGAGGTCTGTGCACCATGTGGGGCCCTCACCGGTGGCCGGGGATCGAACAGGTGCTGCAGAGGCTGCGGGCAGCTTTGCAGCCCAGCGCTCAACCGCTGCGTCACCAGGGGAGGCCCTCAATATACATTTTAAGAATATTTTTGATACCTTTCTACATTACCTCCGTAGGTAGAAATGCTATCATTTTGAGAAATGAGATTCTGTCCTGACTTTGCATGAGTTATAACATACAGGTCTTGAAATGAAATTGATTAGTGTACCTATTCCAAAATATACTGACATGCTAGAATTACACTTGTCTCCTCTTTTTTTTAAGAAAACCAGTTCTATTTCATTCCAACATTTAATAACACAAGTCATTGCACATCAGTACCCAGGAAGGAAAGTTCATAAAGATTTTATTTTTCATTTAAAATACTAAGATGTAAGCCTTGAGCCCTGGCATTAATGTTGGATTAAAAAAAAAAATCAGTTACAGCTAGGCCCTAAAGTGGGGGTGTTTTCATGCCAATAACTCCTCCACACATGTTCACTTATGGCTGCAAATCACAATTACGCAGCACTCACCACTGTGGGATGCAAATGAGTTAGTATGTAAAGATAAATAAGGCGGGTTGCTATGATTAAGGAGCACATGATAGTGGGTGAGGGAAATAAGCTATATAACCCAGATCTATTGCTGGACTCATGCAGGTACTAGGCTTCCTGAAAACGACATGTGCTGAGTAGAAGACTCTTAGCCGGGTTGCTTTCCTATGTGTACCGTAAGAAAATGGGAGGGAGAAGCAGAGATGCTCTGTGGGAAATGTTAAGGAGTTTCAGGCAAACTTGGGGATCCCTTACTATAACTCAACAAGTCTTTAGAACCTTGTGTCTGTAGAGAGACATTATTTGGAAATCGAAAGATGGGGTAGGGAAGGGTGGTTCTGGTTTGGCCAGGTAATATACCTACCATAGCTAAGTTCTCTCTGAACTATGTAATCAATCATGCATCCTTCTCCATGTTGGCTGAAATTAAGTTTGGAGTCAAATTTGTGTCCTTCTATTAGCAAAATATGGGACTATTGTTGCTTGTATCACTACCCTTTAATTTTTCTCCCATTTCTGATTTATATTATAATCGTTAATGTGAACTGATTGCTTACTATGTACCTGGTTTGGTGTTAATCCTTTATGTATATTATCCCATTTATCATCAATAACATATCTATGAAAATTTGTTACTTCTATTTTGAAGATGATCAAGAGTTTGTGACCCCCCCCCCCTTTATAGGTAAGGAAACTGCGGCATGGAAAGATTAAGTAACTTGACCAATACTTTAGACAATCTGTCGAAGGTCACAAGGAAGGGTAGTTAAGAAAAGGGATTTGTATACAGGTCTGTCTGACCTCAAACCAATGTTCTCTTCCTGTCCTTTGAATTGAAGGAAGTTTTGGTAAAACAAGCTCCCTCCAGCAAGTCCCTTTAGGAACTGACTCAAAAGGAAAGAACAAGAGGTGAATTCCTCCTGCAGCTCAGTACCACTGGAAGAAGATATTTAAATTCTACAGGTCTCTGTTTCCTCCTCTATAAATTAAGGAGGTTGAGTCATTTCATCTCTAGGATCCCTTTAATACAAAAAGCCTAACTACAGATAAAAGATGCTATACATTGTTCTGCCTTCTTTTTTAATGTGATTAACTAAATCTTCTCCTATCCCAAGAAATGAACCCAAGTACTTTTTCATATGAGCATGAGAAGCAGGTGGAAGAATGTTGTTTAACCTAGAAAATTGAATCAGGATCTACCCAGGCTCCATGGAGGAGCTGCTGTCTCTGGTCACAATGAAAATACTTCCTTTCCCCTCAATTCAATTACTACTTATTTGATGCCAATCATGAGTCAGGTACTGCTTTATTTAAAATAAAAGGCAATAGGAAACTTAGAGGAAATGAGACAAGGAACAGCAATTAAGAGGTTATATCATATCATTAACACTTGTTAGTCTATACAGACTTAGGTATTTTCTATTGATTTAAAAGATTTGTGGTTTACTTTGCCAACTTTCTTAGCATAGCACAAGAAAACAAGGGTTATCCATATGACTTTCCTTCTGGACAAAGTGTTAATGTTAAAAATGCAAGTGAATTTTAAAACATTCAGAGACCAGAGTAATCTACACACATTGTCAGATAATTGGGATAACCAATACAGAACCACTGAAACAAACCAAAACAAAAATTTGATTTCAGGTAGAGAAAAATAGCCTATTGTGAAAAGCTTAAAATGAGGGAAAAGAAAGTCTCTTATTTATTCTCAAGTGCTGAATATGTGTAAGTAAAAGTTTTGCACATTTATGTTATTTAATATTGACAAAGATACCATCTGGTATTTATGATTATTCTGAAAGATTTAGAAGTAACTTGTTCGAGGTAACTCAACAATAAGTGTTGTCTTTATAAAGCATATTTGTCTGGTTCCAAAATGCCATGAATTTGTTTACAGAGGCTTAAAAATACTGATTTTATTTTACAGGGTTGAGTGCTGTAAGTTAATCTTTTATATGACGTTCCAATAGCAACAAAGGAGGTTCTCTAATCACCATACCTTGAAAGAGATCATAACTCCACAGTCATTATAATTATAGAAACAACATATCTTCACAGCTTCCTGAATTTCTTCTTAACCTTTCATTTTTGTGGTTCATAAGATTTCATAGGATCGGGGCTCCCCTGGTGGTGCAGGCGGTTGAGCACCACGCTGTGAAGCTGTCCACAGCCTCTGCAGCACCGGTTCGATCCTAGCCAGCCAGCGAGGGTCCCACATGGCGCGGCAGACCTCTCCTGTCAGGCCCACTGCTCCCTTCAGCAGTGTATTTTGTCAGTCTGCCTGTTCTGTTCCCTGCTCTGTCTCTGGTGAATCCTCTCACCCTTCCACGCCTCTGTCCTGTACCCCGGTTCTTGTATAAATAAATAAATCTTAAAAAAAAAAAAGAAATACCAAGGAATAAAATTTAAAAAATTTACACAGAATTTCAGTGGACCCAAAGGGCTTCCATATTTGTTCATGTTTTTGTGATGATTTTAGTATTTAACAGTAGAAAATGCGAAATTACTTGCCTCTCACTGCTTTCAGTTGTGTCCATGGCTGCTTTGTGTTGTGTTGATTTTTCATTAATAATTGTATTTCTGGTTTCTTGCTTGACTGCCAAGCTATAAGCACATCTATGCTCCTATGTTGACAAATGTTAATTTATTATCCAATGTTTACTTTCATATAAAATAATCTATAATGGTGGATGAGCAGTTGCCACAGTTACAACCTATCTTAACCAGCCTTGGGACAAGGCTTTCAGTGTTTACACTTGGGATAATGTAATTGATTTTTTACCTCCTTATAAAATTATACTGCAAGATCATTATCTCTTTGGTACCAAGAAGAGATGGTGCCCATGGAGAGATAAGAGCAGCTGTGTTTTATTTCTGTTTGCATCTGTATCCGGGAAGTAAATAGGGTTGTGTTTTTTTTTTTTTTTTTTCTTTCTGGTATTGAATACTAGAATTAAAAATCTTTGCAGGGAACGTTTAATTACCTCTAGTCATGCAGTGATGAAATCAGAGAAATCTAGAGTTTTCTTCTGATCTCAATTTTCAACAGCTTAGGAAGAAGAAACATCACAGGGAGCAGATAGTCCATTTCAGATAGTACAAACATTAACACCGCCTTAGCAAAATATAGTCCACTATAGCTACAAATATTAAAACAGACTGGCTAATCGGTTGCTGAATATGTACTATTTGCCTTTCACTATATAAAAAGATTAATTGTAGTATCTTACTGAAGCCTCACAATACAAAGTGTTGTTCCACATTTAAGCTGAGAAGCTTAGAATGGGTGAGAAACTTGCCCAGGATCACACTTCTGCAAACAGGGAACTGGACCTAACCCTAGTTGATCTGACTCTAAAGTCCAATTACCCTTTCCAGCCAGGAGTGGAACTGGGGGTGGCAGGAAGAATGGACAACAACTGACCTTTACTCCTTACTGTATCTGCCCTTAGAATAAAAGAATTTAAAAAAGCACAATAACAAAAAACTCAAAAGTTGTTCCATGAATATAACTGTGATTTATTCCTTGCTTCACCCCTTGCTAACATAGGCAAAGCCCCCATATTTTCTTCTATATTATTTGTGTATACCAAGAGAAATATACACCAAAAGTCTAAAACTAAAAATCATATCATAATGTATGAGTGTGAAATGAATTATCATTAGATCATTTAAAACCAAACTGAGTAGGGCCTCCCTGGTGGCACAGGGGTTAAAGTCTCAGCACTATCAAGCTATCCCCAGCTACCGCACCCTGAGTTTGATCCCTGGCCAGGGAACTAACCCATAAGGCACAGCAGACCTCTCCTGTCTTGCCTGCTGCTCCCC